GGGAGAGGAAGATTGTGATGGTGAAGCAGTGAAGCAGTGCAGTGCAGTGCAGGGATGAAGAAGGAAAAGAGGAACTGAGCACAATCTATGAAACACTACACTGGACAAAGAAGTGAAGGAGATTGCGTGGATAGACAAAAGACACTTCTATGACACACTTTTAAGTGAAGCAGAACAGTCTGATGGCTGGTAGGAGAGACAGAGACCAGACAACATTGTATCAAATCACCAGGTGACTATCTGGAAGGATCTCGACGCAGATGAAACAAGTGAAAGAGAGTGAAGGAAAGCTAGTTAGCAGAGAGGAGAAACAAAGGAAATGATGGACTGACCACTTCAGAAAGCTCTTGAATCGACCACCACCACTACACCACCACGTGGAACTCGTTGAGAAATACCACCTGCAGCCCAGCCACAAAACTACCAGTGAACACAGGCCCTCCGACAAAAGCAGAAGTGAAGTCCTGAATGCCGTAAAGTTGCTGAAATTCGTGAAAGCAGCAGGACTAGATGGAATTCCTCCAGAAGCACTGAAAAGAGGTGAAGAGACACCATCGGACATGCTCACACCACTACTGCAGAAGGTTTTCAAGGAAGAGAAGAAGGAAAGGTACCTGCCTATTGATTGTGAGAAGGGCTACCTTGTGAAACTCCTGAAGAAGGGAGACATAAGCCTTTGCAAGAAGTGGCGAGGAATGATGCTGCTGTCCACCCAAAGCAAGCAAAATGTTATGCCACATCATCCTGGAGAGACTAAAACATACTGTGTATTGAAAATTATGACTGGAACAGGCTGGGTGGATTCAAGAGAAACAAATCATGTGTGGATCAAATTGCGACGATACGCTGCGCATCATCATATAAGAGAGGATAGGATGGCAGTCAAGTTGATTTTTACATCAACTTCATCGACTTTGAAATGGCCTTGTATCGAGGCGTCGACCGAAAAGTAATTTAGTAGGCAGCTGCTTCAACACAACGGTTTTAGTATCACAAGTCTCTATCAACCTCATTCAACAGATATATGCTACGCTATATGAGGATGCTGCGTGCCAAATGATTCACAGTGGAAAGCTCAACTCAGTGACGCGTTTGAAGTGAAGACAGGAAGGAGTAAGGCAAGTCTGCCGCCCACTATCACCAATGATGTTGCTGATTGTGGTCGACTGGAGTGGACTGAACTGGACTGGGTCATGCAGCAAACCGTGAGGAGCGAGAAGATGGGCATACTGTGGGTGGGCCGATGGGAAGACTGCAAAAGAAGATTTTGATTTCGCCAAGGATGATGATTTATGTCTAATGCCTTGTCGTACAAACTCGTAGATCTACAGGGTAAATCTAACAGGTTGATAGAAGAGGGGATGCAGCGGAGATGGGACTTCAAGTGAATGTGGAGAAGACGGAGATGATAAAGATACCCAACCAACAGCGGCATCAATAGCAAGCACCAATCACGGTGAACGGGAGAAACTTAAAGGAAGTAGTCTCTTTCACCTACCTAAGCAAGGCAGCATCTACTACAGGCGGCGGCGCAGACGAGGATGTTAAAATCAGGATCCGAAATGCAGCAAGACAGGCCTTCCTTCATTAATCTGAAATCAGTGTGGAGATCTACTGCACTCCACTCTACTCAGCATAAAGCATGAACAAGATCTGGATTTTCAACACCAATGTCAAGTCAGTGCTTCTATGTGACGCTTGAGAAACTTGGAGTGTCATGAAAGGCATTTACAACAAACTACAGACATTCATCCATAGCTGCCTTCGCTCGGTACTGAAGGTCGGATGGCCAGAATAACAAGAATAAGAAACAAGGATCGAACCAACCAAGAACCTATCACCTGACGAATATGCAGAAGAAAGTCGAGATGGATTGGGCATACACTGAGAAGACCGATTGGGGACATCACGCGCCAGGCCAGCCCAAGCCCTCGAGTGGAATCCAAATGGGAAACGACGAGTTGGGCATCCAAGGAGAGGGTGACATGGAGGAGATCATGTTAGTTAGAAATGAAAAGTTATGGGCAGTCGTGGCGCCAGGTTTAGAAGACTGCAAAGAAGAGAGTGGAATGCAGGCGTGCTACTGAAGCCCTATGTTCCACTAGGAACCCAAGGGGAAAAAAATAATAGAACACTTTCTTTCTCTTGATATACCATGAGCGAAATTCCACCCTGCTTTAATATTAGCCTTGATATGCTTGCAAACATTAGCTGTGTTCATTGTATTAGTGACAGTGTTGATTGGGTCTTAGAAACCCTTTCTTTTAATTGTTTGTGACATCCTACTCTTCATCGCTTAAGTGCTTTGTATGTACTTTTGGACAGTCTTGTCTCTGAATCTCAGTTGTTATTATTAAAACACAGACATGGTACAGCAAGGGCGCCGAGAAATGCGCCACACAAAATAGTATAACAGCAATGTGAAGACATAAACGGTGGAAAGTGGATAAGTAAAAAAGAAAAAAACAGTAAGAATAGAATGATTAGAAGGGCAGTCCAGTAAGATATATTGCAAACAAAACAGTAATTACTTTTCGGCAGTAGAAGGCAGAAGGAAGCTACAGCATGACCACCACTGCTTCCCATTTTCAGTCATATCTGATAGCGTCTCAAGCCTCTGAGTTTCATGATCTCTCAGACCCCACCCAGGGAGTCGTGACGAAACAGTAGATGCTAACGCGACACAACTATACTTCATTCCACGGCGCCATGTTGACCACCCCTCCGCTTCTTCCATCTAGTCCTAGGGTTAGCAGACAATGAACGGTGTGGAAGCCATTGGGATGACATGCGTAACACTTGTCCAAGTCGGTGTTTTAAGATGACTTCACTTATTGAATCACGATATCCATCATGCCGAAATACACTGTCGTGCCTCAGAATTACTTACATGGTGTTGCCACCGGATACAAGCAATCCTACAAAGACAACGATAATCGAACACACAAATGTCATCGCATATCCTCAACTCGGAGAGGCCGGGCTTCACACGCATAGAGCAGATCTGCTCGCACTGAAGCGTTGTAAACTCGACCTTTTATGGTCAGACTAACGTCGTGATGGCACCAAAGGTGACCCTTTTAGATGTATGCCTCTCTGGCTTTCGATATGCGATTAAAAGTTTCACTACTCACACAACTACCCAGATACACAAACTTTTAGACCACTTCCAACGGTTCACCACCGGGGGTGAGCGCAAATACAGGCTCCTACCAATCTTGCAATAGTACTTTGGACATGGTGCAAAGCGCATAACCATACTTACAGACACTAGTCACCAACTGATTAAGTTCTACCTGAGTAACCTGTGTGTTATCGCATAATAAGACAATGTCGTCCATAAATTCAAGGTCGAATAGCCGTTCTGCTGGTAGTAGATCTACACCACCATCACGCACCTCTTTCAGAGCTGTCTCAAGAATGTCATCGATGGCAAAGTTAAAGAAAAATGAAGAAATCGGTCAACCTGCCTAACCCCACTACCGGTTTGAAACAGTGGAGACAGGTGGTTGGTTGTATGCCCTCATTCTACCTGAGGTGTTATTATATAGAACTTTCAAGATATTAATAAATTTCTCAAGTTGAATACTAATTCCCAAAGGAGTCTTGAAGGTTTGAAAAATGTTCTCTGTCTGTATATGGATATGATCGTCTACCGGTTTTTTGTAAGATGTTTTTCATTTACTACTTTCAGTATTAAGTAGAATACTTTGGTTTCATTTGACAAAACCACTCGAGCGTGGGGAATGTCAGTGATGAATATAATCTAAAAGTCATCCTCCAATTGTTCATTCAAACTAGTATCATGTTTGTTTGTTTTTGTTTTGTCTAGAATTATCTTATTTAGTTAACATTTGAGGTATTTAGGGTGATTTGTGCTAAGTGTGCAAAGCACTTTACATTTCTCATATTTCCATCTTTTAAAAGTAACGCTAAACCTCATAACACTGAGATTTTATATGGTAGAGATTAGTATTATCGAAATGGTATATGACTGTGCAGGTTCATTGAAGTTGTTATATCATACATCACCATATCAAGGTGGAAGTCAACGTGATAAAAAACAATGAAATACAATTAATTATATCACATGTATTAAAAAAGTTATCGATTGATAAAGAAGAAAGTGAAAGAGAATAAATATGTAGGGTATTTGGATTCAGTTGAAGGTAAGATGTTATTTATTTAGGTGGTTATAATCGATTTTGAATTGTAGCATCCAGACTCTGTTGATACCGATTTCTGATGTTGCATCTCCGAGTTGTGGCAAATGTTTTTTTTAACTAGGAGAGAGAGAGAGAGAATAGCAGGTTTTTAAAGTCCATAACGCGTGTTTACATGTTGTATTGTTATTTTTTGATCTGATAATCAATTCCAAGCATCCTATCATTCTGTTCACATATATATCTTCTTATAGGCTTCAGATGATGTGGTTTGGAATTAATTGCAGTCGCTGAAGTGCATTCGTGGCTCATTTTCATTTTTATTAGCTTGAATCCCTTTTCTTTTTGTTTCATGGCTTTCTATGACCTTCGATTAAGCTACTTCCATTTTATTGTGTTTTGTTGTCTTAATGTTCTGTTGTGAGTTATAACAACTTGGATTGTTGCCTAGTAATGATATATCACACACATATTAAGTGACTACTGCTTCTTTTAATAAGTCTGTTATGATCAATGCGATATTCATGATAATTCAAGATAATAGTAGGAGTTCGAACCATGGAATCATCTCCCTAAGGTTCTGCTTCATTTCAAGCATTCTTTCAGTTACTAAGTCAATCGAGTACTTTTTACTTTGTTGCATTGAGCACAAACTCAGTACAACGTACGTAACCAAACAATACTTCAGTTAGACGTACTAATTGAATTTGGTGAATTAGTAAATATATATTTTAACATGGTTTTACATCAGAACATTTTTATGCAAATTTTAATCATTTAATAATCTTAATTGTAATGTTCACTTTTTTCTCTCTCCATCCCATTTTCGTGTTTCAGGGTTTCTTTCGCCGCACCGAAGGTTCAGCTAATTCATTAGTCTGTGTTGGTGGACAAAATACATGTACCATTACACCTCGAAGTCGAAATGCTTGTAAAAGTTGTCGTTTCCGTCGGTGTTTAGCTGCAGGAATGTCTAAAAAAGGTGAATAGCCTTTTTTTTTTTAAATTTATATATTTTCATCATAAATGTATACTTTTTATGATGGATATTCTACGGCTTTATTGGTAGACAGTTGAATTTTAGTTATCTTAGAAGATCCTACCTAAAAACTTGTATTCTTAGTCGTCTTGAACAACACACACACAAGTACTACCATACTATTTAGTAGATGAATGGGGTGGGGAGGACAATTTAACTCGATACAAGTGTTTATATATGAGGCTATGAACCAAAGTGGAGTTATGGCTCACTCGTTTGGGCAGCTGTCTTTCATCCACAGAACACGGGTTCGAAACCTACTCCATCTACCAAGTTTTGGGCAGCCAGGTAGCATCACACATTAGGTTCGGCTCAGTGTCTACTGCACATGGTTGCAGAGTGCATTTAGATTCGATTCTATGAACCATACTGATTGCATGAGGGTTTGTGATGCTACCTCATTGTTCATGTTGACGAAGACAAAGTGAGATGTGAACGCGAAGCTAATTGATTGGAAGTTAAGCGCTTAAGTCAATGAACCAACTTTCCAAATGTAAAAAAAATATGTTAAGTATTGCTAATATCTAACCAACTACACAAGGGAAAAGCAGAGAGAAGAACCTACAAGTATAACAGAATAGTGTATTGTTTCAAGCTATCGAAATTTCCACAAAAGCTGACAGCTATTAAGGCTAACCAGAAGATAGTGGACAAATCAGTAACCTTATTTGGGAATGTCATGTTTCCATGATTATTCATTATTAACCTACTCTGAATGTCTTGTGTTTGTAGCTTAGTATACGCAATGTCTATCCCGAACAGCAGTTACACTGAACAATAATTCACTTGATGCTCAATTTTGTTTACCCACTGGTGTACCCTGCCCAGCACAATATGACCACAAGCACTTCACATTAACAATTATTTCTGAAAACCAACTCGAAGTATACATCACTTCGTAACAAGAATAGCTCAAACTCTTGTTATCTTTTGTGTTTCTTGATATTCAAAGTTAAGATAGTTTGTAAATACTTCATTTTATCTCGGTACAATTTGACCCAGAATACTAATCAGTTCGATCGCTAAACTAAGTGAAATGATTCTTTGCTAACGTTAGCAGTCCGTTAACAGACAGTCCTGCTTGACCTGTGTAATTCTATATTGCAGTCAGATATTGTACCACTAAGCTGCTCGATTGATAGATGCAAATATATAGTAGGTGAGCAAGGATATTTTTCAGATGAATATATTGTTCGATAGGACTATCTGTAATAGTCTCCTGGCTTGGAGGACCGGCATTATTGATGTGAAGTGATTACCAGTCTACCAAGCTAAGGGCTATTTCAGAATAGACCCATCAGCAATCAATACAATACTTCCTGTCACCGATTCATCTAGATTTAGAGGATTGAGATTGAGAAGTTCTGACTCAACAGAGTGTATGATCACTATGTTGCACCACACTCAATCACATAGTGGCTGATATGGAACCTTGGTGATTTCAGTAAAGTTAAAATCTGATCAGCATTTAGGTCCGATAGCTTAGGTCAACTAGTGTAGAGCCCCGAGTAAGTAATCTGGAGACTGCTGGTTCAAATCTTCTCACTACTCAAGTTTCCATTTATCTTAATATCAATCCGTATCAGACTAACATGTTTTGTGTGACGTTACATTGCATTATAAAGAGTAATGTTCTCAACACTGATGACGACATCTCTATTCCCAAGAGGAGTTGTTACTTTACGTCAAACTAGCTTAAGAGAAGTTCTTTCTGTCAGTATGGCATGAACGTTAATCTTAGTTTATCTTACTTTTTTAGCTTATAGAGTAAGCTAAATATGTGGCTGAAACAAATGTCAAAGTGATAGACGAAAACATTAAAATAGGACTTTTGATGACAGAAATGCATCAGTTTAAGATGATAGACTTTACAGGATCGAATTAAGAGGTAGTGCATAGAAGTGTGTTATGTAAGAAGAAAGGAATTAAAATAAAAGCTAATGAAGGATTCAAATCTTCGAAGTGTGTATATATATCCGTGCCATTGTGATCACATTTGAGCCATTTCACCAAGGGTTTTCAATACTTGTAGTCAATCTGCGTTTAATCTGCTTTCGCTCCTCATCGTGACTGGAGTCAGTCAGAATGAATGTGTTTTTTTGCATCAACTAGTTTGGGTGTGGCTTTTTTTGTAGCTTACTTGCTGTCTTTATTGTTGTTTGTACATCAAGTTAAATATTTTACCAGACTTCATTAGGACTAAAATTTGTTTTATGTTCAGAGAAAAAAATCCTAAAGTATACCGTACAGATTTTAGCTTTTCGTCTTCTCATGGAGCACAGAACCACTTTGTATCTGTCTGTTTCCTGCTTCTACTAAGGTGCAGAAATAAATAAGCTCAAACTAAAAGAGAAAAAAATAAAATCAACGTAGAACCCTGCATACAAGTGCATCGGTTCAAGTTGCCACACTTCACAGTAGCATTCAAAGAAACAGGTGGATAGGGAAAACTGACATCAAAGTAGCCAAAGATGTATAGGAGGGATAAGGAATTCGAAGAAAAGAAGTTTGGTGAAAATATTCAAGCTTTAGAAAACGTGAAATAGTGAATACATCCGTGCCATTATTGCAAAAAATCTCCAACTATTGATTCCTTTGGTCTTGGGGACTTTGTCAACCTGATCTACCTTTCTATACACTTTTGAGGCCAACAGTCATTAACTTCATGGACTAGTGCAATGTCTTGGTTTAGTCACACTTAACTTTCTTCCAACGTAATCAGACTTTCCCTAGCATTGCACGTGGAAGTAGACTGTGTCTTGAGGATGTGCAACACATGTCCAAACCACCTCAGCCAGCGAATTTTTTTCAACCTTACCTACCTTGCCTAGTACCTTTTGCCTCTACCTCTACATTACTCACAGTGATTCCATCATATTCAGACGACGCTACGAAGACATATATGGTCACTTCACACGTTTTACTTTCAAGGACCATATCTCAAATTTATATAGCAAAACATAACGGACTGCAGCGCAGCATACTCGTCATTTCATTAGACACTCGGTATCTCGCCGGCACCAGATATTGCTAAGCATTAAATGAGATATATTCTCTCTTTATGTTCGAAGTTTGTGTTGGCTAAGAACAAATTTATCGATGATCATTTTTATTACTTCATCGTCATTGTTCCATCTTTTTTTGTTGTTATACAAATAATAATATCGAACAGCCAAAGTATTTGCAAAAATTCACATTGATTTCCAACTATTTGACTACTATATAGGTTTTCTGCTAGTATTTTCTCCCCATTTTGCAGTAGACTCCTTAGTAGTGTGAAGACTGTAATTTTGCATTTGAACTGAAATGATGAATGGAATTATTCATTGATTGGTTACTGAAGGATTAACTAATTTCATATTATCTAGTCCTAACTAAGCGTTTCCTGAATATGATCAAAAAGCTACAAGATTCACTTTTCAATTTGATTATGAGAATATTCATTGAAGTGAAGTCGTAATTTCAGGATTTTTGACATTCATTACATTTATCGATATCTGGGTAGACAGTTGGTTAGTATCACTAACCTTCTGATAATTAATATAGCTCACTAGCTATATATTACATAAACCTTTAGCGTGATATAATTTACTTGCTTTTGGCTAACAGTGGAGTCCAGAACATGCGCTTCGTCTCATTTGGGACTTGTCACCTATCCTGCACTCATGTCTGCATTGAGACTGTAACCTCGTATTCATCGTGCGGTTGCATTGCATTACATTTCATCGATTTCAGATACTTCCTTTCGTTTTCAAAAATATTGGAGTTCTTTTCACTTCTCATGAAAATCAGAATTTACTTAATATTTATTTATGTATTTCTACTATATTGTAATCCCATTGTTTCTTAATCGATTTCTGTAAATCAAGTGACCTTGAATCGTCCACTAAGCGTTGTAAACATGTGTCTCTATTCCTTTATTGGTTATAACATATTTATTAGGCTATTGTTCTTGTTATTGTTATTATTGTGATCATAGAAATATTATTCGCCAGATTTTATAGATTGAATTTTTCATAAATTCAACAGTCGACCTTGACCTAGTGCGATCATATTTATTTTGTGCGCAGTGTCTGTGTATATATTTGTACACACTTAAATGCACACACACACACCCATATCCATGTGCATAAATGCATTCAATACACCTAATGTTTACGCTTTCATATTTATAATTTAGATTGTTGTTTATGTGTATTTGTGTACTATTGATCTACAGTCAGAAATGTTTTGAGTTTTTATTGTTCGATTCCCTAGTTTTTGCGTATATGTGATTCAGTTCAGTTCCTTGTGCATTTACATGTTATGTATGTTTGTTTGTTTATCACTTTCTATGCATATTCTTGGTCGGTTGACATACAGGTTGTACTACATTAGGAAGGCTTTGCGGAACGACAACATAAGTTTGTGTTATTTTTTTAATGTGTTAAACTACTTGGCTAGGGTGGATGGAATTGGTAGAGAGCGCTAGTTTACCCCATTCATCAGGTCTTATGAAAGGAATTTGACATCATTGTTTTTCAACCGTAACCGGTTGCTATACCGAGTCGAATCGGTCAACCTCTGTTCCTAGAGGGGCTCTTAGTAGAGAGTTGTTTGAATTCTTCTGTCAGTCCCGTTAAGTGTATTCGTTTGGAAAAGTTGATGGGATTTTATAATAATACTAGATATGTATACTGGTTGATCACTTATCAGTCTTTTGAATCTTACTTGGAAGAGTGGTTTATCTAAGAATATCACATTCATGTAGTCTGTATACATATGCTCACTCAACCATGTATTAAACTGAGAAAATAAGGACCAGGCTGCGTCACTGTGGGCGATTTTAATCTGTAAGTTTTTCCTTCCTTAATTAGTATCATAAAAATAAATTTTGAGCTTTGAAGTAAGCCATATCCTGCTTCGAATGTCAACCATATTAGTTCCTTGCTACAGTCAAACTGGTCATTGTTAAAATGTGTGTGTGCGTGCTTGGGAACTGAGACAATATTCAGTACTATGCAAAGTTTCATGTTCTCCAACCAGTTAGTTAACATTACTCACTTCAATGTATCGAGTTTTCAAAGCGTATAGAGTTTGATTCACCTATACTTTTAGCTTCCAATCATTTGACCTTGTGCTCAAATCGACCCGAACTTAAAAACCTCTTAGACAACCAGGTACTGCAGTGTAAAGGTCAGATGTTCTACGAATAAATACACGAAGGTGGATATGATCAAAATTGTGATGCATGAAATTACACTACTGATTAGTTGCACTCTTCTTCTTCATAGGTTTGTGGTAATTCAGCTGATTATACTGCTTAAATAACTAACTATCAGTAGTTGGAGTGGGGTTTGACCCTTGCATCCACTGGCTGAAAGTCAAATATCTAGATGAATGAGCCATAGTTACATACTTCATTAAAGGTTGATTTATGAGAAGAGTAGAGCAACAACATTAATGTTTTCACTACAAGACGTTATTGATCTGAATTCAGTTTGATGCTATGTGTAACCGTTCACTTTACTTATATGTGGTGCATTTTGCACTCAATAAACGATGTATCCATTTTCAAGTTTTTAATTTTTCTTTAATAGGCAGTCGAATTGGTCGTCAACCGAATGCAGTGAAATTCCATTGTGCTATTGAAATCAAGCAACTCCAAGCAGTTAGAGGTAATAATTCCTCTGGTTCCATTGATGCATTATCGCCTGGTCAAAGCTCTTCGACCTGTATGTATGGTGGACAGTATATATCTGTAGGTGGCAACGTCGGTGGTGGTGTTAGCGGTGCGGATATCTTATTAAATAATTCAAGTAATCATTTTAGACATCTTAGTCACAGTGATGATAACTGTAGTCCAGAAACAATGACTCCAACCAACACATCGTCCTCATCATTGAAACAAGATACACCGTTACAGCAATCATCGAATGACTGTGTTAAACCATCTCAATCACAGCAAGCACCGCCACCACCATTATCCTTGTTATTCTTCCTACCGCCAACATCGTCATCATCTTTACCATCATCTATTATACCTGGCCTGGTTAACAATCATAATCAAGTGTCGAATATAGATATTGCAAAGTGTTCACCGAACTGTTATTCCACTGAACGTGATAATGAAGCACAATTGATTAAACCAGATTATACACTTATTGATGAATCGTCTGATGGTGCTTGTCGTCTGTCAAACAATTTGAAATCGCAATTATTATTCAAGAATATGCAGATGGTTAGTTGTTTTTTTCTTTACTAATTGTATTCGATTGCGTAACAGCTTCTTTGGGACTCATTTTCTCGAAACATTTGTTGATTTTGTCCTCGTTGCTACTTTCCTCTTCATGTGAAATCTCCCCACCATATTAGTTTATTATTTGAATTTTGAAGGTCCCTTGTGAAGGACCATTTGTGGAGCTATGGCTCATTGGTTTAGGGAGATGACTTTCAATCAATGGGCCATGGGTTCGAGTCCCGCTCTACCGGGGTTTAGGCAGCCAGGTATTATCATTAAGTCTCACATAGTAGGTGCAGCTCATTGCCTACTACACGAATATGGACCAGATTGGTGAATGCATTTAGATTCGAGCATAACTATGGCTTTAAAGCTGATGCAGCTCGACTATCAATCATTAGTCCACACAAGAATAGCCGTCCAAACTACTTCTTATCTTAAACACTAAATGATAAATGGTTGATGGATTTCACTATAACTGTTAATTTTTTAAATATATGTTCTGAAATCCTTTAGTGATCACATTCAAGGTTAAGATGTTGAATAAAACTGCATTAGTTCAGTATCTCGTTTATGTTTCTGAGTGCACAATAGCTTGTTAGCTAACTCCTATGCTGTAATCTACGCACTTAGTAGTTTCACCCCAAGAATCAAAAGTTTTCATTATACTTTTTACAAAGCTCTCTTAAGACTGACTAGTCTTTCATGAATGCATCCAGAAATCTGTTTGATTCAAGGGCGTATAACTATACTGTGTGACAAAAATTTTCAAGCTTTGTAATCAAAACCACTGGTTCTGTAAGTCTTTTACTCCTTCTCAATAGTCTAAACTGTTTCACTTCAACCTCATCATATTAGTTGTAACACTACTCAGTGGCATGCAAAGAAAAAGTAGATAGGGAAAAAATTGGAAATTTAACTTGGTGGAAATGTTTCGAACTTCGGAGGTATCGTAAAGTGAAAATACTCAGAGTTTACAAGACATCAGAAAGTGAATGCATCTACACCATTGTGACTGATTTTCAGCCATGTCACCAAGACTATCCAACCGTTTGATTTCTACTATCTTGAGGACCCCAACTAGGCAGCCTGCACTTCCCTAGGTGGCTCCGACCAAAAGTCATAAACTTCATTAGCTGGTGCCATATCTTGGTCTGATCACACTGAGCCTTCTTCCTACCCAATCCTTCTTCAGCTAACATTGCATATCAAGGGAACCAGTGGCTCGGCATTTACAAGTTCATGGGTACTGGGCTGTTTGCTGTTTGAAAAGTATATGCACTCTACAGTACCAGGATGACAGGGTTATAGTCCTAGTTGAAGATGCGGATAAAATGAGGTGTCAGTTCTAGCATATAATATCAGAATATGGCCTACCATAGTATCAGATCATCTAACTTTATGGTCACATTACCGGACTAATCAATTCATTTTGATCAATGCCAAGCACAAAGAACTAGACAAATTTGTTAATTGCCTATCGGTCGTCAATTCGTGCAGAGTCAGCAGTCTTTCGAATATCTTAGTTGACAATGTATGGATTTGGGGGATGCAGCTACCGCTTTCGAAATGTAGAACATTACATCAGGATTGATCCGTATGAATTATTAGTTTCACGCTACAATTTGATTTAGTTGAACTTGTTGACCATTTCACATACTTGTGGTAATTTCATCAGCTTTAATAAGTTTAATAACTGATGAGATCGTAATACAGTTGCGAAAGTTTTCCATTTATAGTATAAAAAAGTTAATGTTCAAGTGATTATTTATCGCTAATCATATTAGAAATGCGCTGCTTCCTGATACACAGTTACAGAACGGCGCTGGAGGTGAACTGTTAAGGAGGTTGTGACTGTATGGTAGTTGCTGATACATTCGAATTATTACTGACGTATAACTGCACCAAGATGAAAGATATAAGACATAAGAAAGTGGTCGACTGAATGAGAAACTTGTGGTAAGCTAACTAGAAAGAATGAACCATGATACAATTCCGTATAATAACTAAAATGAGGATAATTTGTGGATACATCTGTGACACTGACATAGATTCTGAGTTGTATTGCCTAGGGTATCCAGCCACCTGTTTTTATTGTCATCCTCTCTAAAGTGAAGCTTGTTGTCCAACTTGATAGAAAGTGCTGACATGGACAGCTCCGATTTTTAGTTTTGCAGCGCAGTTTCAGAACGTCAAGGATGCTGTTCTGTGAGCTAGAATCGTTATCAAGTACTGGAGAGCTGACATCAATCGAAGATAACAGGGATGTTTACAGAAAAGCGTGAAGAAAGATTCGAAGGCCAAGATGTGGAAGGTTAATGATGATCTGAGAGAACTTGATTACTGACAGAGTTGGAAAGGCGGTTAGCACTTCTTGGTTACCCACAGTGTCAAAGGTTGCTCCCCCATGAGATGCGTGTAAAAGAAATATTCGTGACCTCATAGCCCATCTGTTTGACATCTGTCACATACATCCTTTTTTATGAACTTTGAGACTTATATTTTACTTCTTTTGATTTCGGCTAGGATATCCATATTGCCAACACCGGAATTACAGCTGGAGAAGGAAAACTTATTTTTAGAACATGGACTGCTGGTCACCTGTAAGAAATACCTCAGTGCTGCCACACTTTAACTCAACTAGCGGTACGAATTCACCCTTGGACCCCATCTTATCGTAGCTAAGTACGGTATCAAGCAGCTTCTTTCTGACCCATCGCTATCCTACAGACCTTTCCTCAAGGAGCAAATATTTCGATTAGTCTAGCTCATTAGGTCATTGGGATATCCAATCCCAACCATCATATCAAGGTAGCCGCAATCGGTCGGGTTCGTTTTTGCTCAATATCAACTGATGCAGACCAATAATTACTTCAGCTATTGTGAAAACTCACTCAAGACGTTGGAGTGGTTACTTGTATTTATTGAGAAGGGACACTGTTGTTATTTATGTAGCCCACTTATGTGTAGGAAGTTAGGGAGTAAGATGGTGGAATGTGTTGATCATTTCTCTTACTAGAAGAGTTGCATTCACTCAAATTAGTCACCCAATGATACCATCTCACCTTGAGTTCGAAAGATTCATTTGACATTCGTGAAATCCCACCACTTATTGTGCCATTTAGAGATCCGAATATATATCAAAGGATGAGTATATTGTCCAGGAATATGACCTGAAAACACTCTTTCAACGGAGCAGATATAAAATGACTAACTACAGATGTCGTCATAGCACTACTCACGTATGGTGGGATCACCAAGTCAGCAGTGTCAAGGTTAGGCGAAGGGAAATATTCCAGAAGGAAAGTCAATCGATGAGTTTGTGATGACGTTTGTCACTATTATTGGTCTTAGCCGTATAGAGAGGTGTAGACTGCCTGACTAGAATGCTTGAGACTATACGAGTTATTGGTTTGAGACCGTTGGTGACATGGCTGAAAACCGGTCAGAATGATGCAGATGTATCACTTTTTTTCCTTTTAAGTCTTGAATATTTCCATCAACCGTTACTTTTCAAATTCTTTTCTTATGTCATCTGCCACATACTTTTGTCTACCTCGAGATCACTTTTTCGATATCCATTTTCCTTGCTGTTATGATGTGTGATAGTTTTAGCTGATAGACTTCGATATCATATTCTGTATTGATTTATCTATTTGTGTAATATCTATCTTGTACTTTTCATACATAAGATATTTCAGAAACAGAAAGATTATTGCTTAACGCCTCAACAACAAAGCAGAGTGATATTTAAAAAAGAAAACTGAGTTATAGTTTCACTTATTGTCTATTCTTATGAAATATGTATTGTTTATGTTAGGGATGCTTAATTCCCTAAGAAAAACCAACTTATGTATATATTATCATTGTAAAACCTTACTTTCGCTCCCTCCATAAAATGTTATTTATTCCAACCGCGGTTTAAAATACTAAACTCTGATTGGCTCATTTTACACTGACCAAAGCCATCTAAAAGGTATATAAACGACGGAATTTTCGACTGTGAGGAATATTCGGTTGAAGTAAATATACTTTCTATCCTATTGTTTTCTTCTTCTGATGTCACCTGAATATCGTGTTGAGAAGTCATATATATATATATATATATATATATATATATATATATATATATATATCGCAAATCGTAAGTTTTTCCTTTTCCTAATAAATTGTTTGAATAAATTATTTCGTTCTAGGGGCCAGCACTGAATGATTCTTCTCAGTTAATTCGTCATTATTCCAATGGACGTTCTGGTATATACGATGCTTTGGAATGGCATGCACTAAATCGTGTCAATGAATCTGCTTTGTTTAATAATAACAACAATAGTAATAACTATAGTGCAAATGCTTCACATCCTTTTTGCACCAATTCCAGTAATGGTAGTGTTGGTCATGGTGATCAAAACTTGGGTATGAAACTGCCAAATCTATTTCGCAACATTCATCTGTCTCAGAATCATCACCTTCATTTTGTACATCGCGTTTACTAGATGAGAAAATATCTTCATATTCTCAGGAACAACACAATAAACGACAGTCATTGTCTCCTAAATCCGGTGTCAATCAGTATCATCATCAACAACATCATCATTCATCTTCTTCTTCCTCAACTTCTCAGCGATCCTCTTCTTCAATTTTTTCACCAATCTCTTCAAATCTATCTCAGGTGGATATATGTCGAGCAGAGATACTGAAACCAGAGAATGAAGAATTTACTGTGAAATCGACAGCATCCTCAGGTCTATATGGAACAATGACATCGATCACAACTACAACCTCCACCCCTCCACTTGTTATTACTTCGAATAGTAATACTAAATCAAAAACAATGCTGACCTCTAGTACTGTTGTAAACACAACTGGCAGTAATAGTTTCAGCGGTTTTATAAGTTTCGACGATCCATCATTTTGGGATGATGTTGAAGAGACACTGCCTCCAATAACACCAAATTCTGAATCTGTTGCACAATTCACTGATGGTATGCGTACTGCAACTGAATTCTTACGATTGCCTACTGCAGTAAGTGATAATAATTCCTGTAATGAATCATACAGTAACTAAACTTTTTGTAAGTATGTTTGAATGTGAACAGCAGTTGTGCGATGATAGCCAGTTGCGTTGCTAGAAAACTGAATACTTCACATGGTCACCTTTAAGAAAAATATATATAATAAGGTTGTAGAAGGTTATACTATAGGTGGTTGGTTAATACATAAAAAGAGACCTTCCCAGCATTCATTTGGTAGTGTTGTTTGCAGTGGAACCGATTACTCACGATATATCACCCGATTGGGTTTTACTACTGATACTGAGACAAAAACAACAACAGTCAACATGACTTCAAACGTAAGAGTGTTATTCAGTAGGCTAATAAGCCACAAGAACCATCTTTCTAGTTTCTCTTTGTTCAATCAAAATGAACCAAGTTAACTGGATTCTTCCTCATTATGTCTGTCTTTAGGATTGCGTTTTTATTTTATCAAATATTTTTCTTTATGTTAGTTGGTCACTGGGTGGTAACCAACCTCATTTTGTCTAATCCTAAGTGCTGATCGAATTCTGTCTATCAGTTTCAAATATGTCCATATAAAAACTGACGGAACTGATGTCCTGTCTGGGATTCGAACTTGCTTCACCTAGTGTTATAGTCAGTGATGTTACCACTGAGCTGGTATTTGGGCAGTGATTGGTCTCCTGTAGGACTGATCAGTTCTACATGAGATCGATCATGACCTGAATAGTTCAGCAATAACGTCTTTGACTATAGTATTGTGTAGCGTGGGTTCAAGTCCCAGAAGGGAAGTCATTTCCCTCGAGGTTGACTGGCGAGTGCCAACAGTCATGAAACCCAGATCAGACATGACTTCCTGCTGATTGCCTCCATTCACCTAATATTTAATTCATTCTATCTTGTGATGAACTTTATGAAGTTTAAGGAACCAGGTAACTAATGCATGTGTACAACAGGTCAGTATATATATATATATATATATATATATATATATCCTAGTTGAATAGGACTGATCAATAAACACCCACAGTCTTTATTCAGAATTCTTTTCGTTATAGTAGTAGTAGTTGTTGTTTTTGCCTTTATAAAATGCTATCTGTATATGTTTAGATGATAACTAACTGATGAAAGTATGCTATCTCACTTTCAAGTATTGAAATCAATAGAGATTTACTGAAGTTATTAGGATATGTTTATGGAGGAAATGTGTAAGATATCTTACTCTATCAACTTGTATGTTAAGATGAACTGTTAACCGACCATCTAGTTTAACGTACAATGTTAGTTGGAGTTGAATTGGTCTGACAGGCAGTTAGTGGTAACCAAAATAAAACATATAGGCTCTGATTTATAATTTGAACTTTTTTAAGGAAGATTAGGCTGTCTGTCTAATGTCAACTATAAAATCTCTGTAGTTATTCCTCAATATAAATTGCATTTGCTCAGAAGCCTTCATTCCAGTCGTGATATCATGCGTCCTCAATACCGTCATCTAACTTTTGTGTTATCATATAGTGTTGATGTTAACATCATATTTGTTTCTTAATTTTCCTTCATATTGACTGCCGCCTTAGCTTGAACGGATAGACAGTTATATTAGATGTTATTTTATTGATATCTCCTTGTGGTTTTAGTAGTATAGGTTGGGAAATTCAATTTTTGCAGATCTGAGTCTCTGAAGGAGTATGAATGTTCTCATAGACATTAGTAAGTCCTACAGCCATTCTGGAACATAGATCATGCAGAGCTGTTCGTTTATTTGCGCATAACCTGTCACAACTATACATTACTGTTTTTTGTTGCATCTAACTACTGGAAGATGTAAGGATATTTAGTAATCTCTATTATTCATGAGTATCGTATAATGTATTACAGCAACTTTGCAAAGATTTGTGTATTATACAATAAGCTCCAGTTAACGTGTCAATACCGACGGTACTACACGGATACTCAGGCCCGACTAGTAGAATGCGTCTGAACTTGAAACGTATAGTGTGGAAGTTGAATACCTAAGCCCAATCAACCTTAATTCCAGTGGTTAGATTTTCTCGATATGAATCGATTGATCAATTATATTTCGTGCTCACTGGTACATTCTGCAGAAACTATTGCCGCTCAGAGATTTGAACCGGTACCAATCATTGCTTCAAGGGAGAACTTTCCCATTGGGTATTCAGGCTAGACATACACATCAAAACAGTAAACGTCTTAGATTAGAAAGAGTCGTTAGTTTCATACAGAACAACTGAAACCGAGACTGAAAATACTTTAGAACCGGTCAAAGGAAAAAATGTCATCAAACAGAGAGCTAATATGTAGAGGACCACACAACATTATTGGAAACCTGATGAGTGTGAAAGAATTTTGAGATGAGAAATGAATGCCACTGAAGCAGTATAATCACTTATGTTTTTAGTTAGCCATATCATGAATTTCCAGGCCCTAAACCTAGTAAACAATAATTAGTTGATTGCCATTCTATGTTACCATATTATAGCAGTTGGAACACACGATATATTAGGTTTTAACCAAGTAGCTGAGTGGTGCTGTGCTAACTGTGAGGCCTACTGGTCTTGGGTCCAACTTATTTACTGTGAAAGAGTGCCAAATTGAAATCAAACATCTATCCAGTTGCTTCCAAGCTTCTATTGGTTTTCCAACCGATATCAATCTGTGATTTAAACTACTTCAAAGTAAATTTATCTTTTTTTCATTTTTGTTGTCTCATTCCGATCTGTTGTGTGACTCCAGTTTGTTTCTTTTTGTGTCATATTAATAAAGTATACTCATTAGAGTGTCAAAAATCATAGGTGTAGCGATTAATCGACTGCAAATGAATTGCATTTATTCAAAGAACTTTGTTGGTTGAAATCAGTGCATGTAGTGTACCGTGTAGGTGAATTATAGTGTCATCACAAAACTGACCTCCAAGAGTCGAGTAGCTGCCAGACTAATTAGTATAAACGTACCTTTTTTTTCGTGAATGAGTAGTTATAGTAATTAATCTCTCACTCGGATAAGTCAGTTGAATTTCTGACATTTTATCGTTGTTTGGCTGTTGTATACAACTATTAACTCAGGACTATATGAATGATTTCCTTCTTGCCACAACAGCTGCTCACAGTTCACACTACAAGGGGTTAGTCAGTTAGTTAGTTAGCTTTCTCTATCTATCTCATCTTGGTTTGAATCGATATCAGACGTACCATGCAGAAGACGTGGTCGATAGTCACCAGTCTAATATCTGCCACATCTGAGGTCGTTCTTTTATCATTCGATTGTTACTGCAAGCATTTGATTGTTAAGCAAAGGCAAAGTTTATAAATACCATAGGCGGCACCATTTTTCATCTTCCTTTTAAAAATCACTTATCTCGAAACCGCCAACATGTTGTATAATTTTAGCATATTTTATGGAAATTCGTGAGGTTACAGTAATCCCTTCACAGCTCTTCTTAGTGACCTTTAACACTTGTCACTGTTGAATAATAAACGTCTAAACAATTTTCATATGATCAGTATTTAACATAAACGTTGCATATGTGTAACTCTTCTTCAATTTATTCTTTTCCCTCTTCCAATTATTAAAGTATTTTAGGACACGCTTTCGTATGACATCCATACTAGCAGAACATCAAGACAATATCACTCAAGTATGGAGTCATATGATGAATCATTTTCACATGCATGCTCAACAAGTTGTTCAATTTGCCAAACTAGTACCTGGTAAGCATAGTTTAAAGTTTGCTTTGATAATTTTCATATGTTAATCATAGCCCCACCATTTTCATCGGCAGTAAAGTGTGTAGCAAATTAGACTGATGAAATTTTGTGCAAGATTCTATTTTTTGGTCACTCTCTCCGTTTCTATCTCTTTATTAGCTATTTCTGATGTTTTTTAAGAGTAGTAGGGATTTTACTATTTATTGATATGCTTGTAATTCCCCATTGTTATACTGGATCGCATTGATCGGGTTCAGTGGCTATGTGGATAACGCTTTGGCGATGGATGCTTGTTTCGAGTCTCAATGGGGACAACATCCCTCACTGGAGTGCAGACACATCCAGATGACGAGTCCCAAATAGGGCGGAACGTGCGTCCTGGATTCCACTGCTAGCCACAACCAATAAATTATAGTAGTACGTTTGTTGATTTGTTTTTTGACGTCAGTATGTAGAGCCTTGTATTCACTAAGTTATCAAGATCAATTATTTATTCTGAAATTGTAACACCCACTTTCCAGTATTTATTCTTAAAACGCTTTCTACGTCAACTTTTCGGAATTGTAAGTTTTGTACGAACCGCAGTAACATCCAATCACTCAGTTGTTATTGATGCATAATATGACCTTAACCACCACCGATATCCGGCGTGTTACCATTTAAGTTTTATTTAACGTGATTGACATCGATCATCATTATCCTATACAAACAATGTATGAAACAAGTAGTTTTTATTAAGGTTTATTGTGTATTGCCAGGCTTGGTTTATGTTCATTTGAAGTGTATTCAACAAAGTATTCATCGGGAAAAGAAGAGATAATTCAGTGAAGAAAATTTTCTACTGCGACGATATTTTCTAAAACTACAATCGTATATATATATATATATATATATATATATATTATAATATATATATATATATATATATATATATATATATATATATATATATAACCCAAATTGCAAAGGAGATGAGGAGGTATGGCATGCAAGTGCTTGGAATCTGCGAAACCAGATGGAATGGAAGTGGAATCTCCAAACTGTCAACTGGAGAGTCAATAATCTACTCTGATATTGTCACCCAGACGACAACCACGAGCACACTGAGTTCTCGAGTGGCTATAATGATGCCCCCAACAGCATCGAAAGCTCTCTCTCATGCAGTGGGAACCAATCGCCTCCACGATCAGGATCATGACATCAAGGTTCAACTCGAAAGTAAGGAAATTCACAATCATACAATGCTACGCTATGCACCTACAAATAATGGAGATGAAGAGAAGCAGGAGGAATTCTACAGACAACTGCAACCAGTCAGTACTGGACAAGACCCCACCCCAGTTTGCGACATAAAAATTCATTCTAATGTATGACTGGCATGAATGCGAAACTGGGAGCAGACAACATGGGGAGAGAACTCATCATGGGTCGAGAAGCACTTGGTGAAATGGTGAACGAGAATGGAGAACTGTTTGCAGACTTCTGTGCATTCAACGACTTGGTGATTGGAGACAGTGTGTACAGATACAAGGACATTCACAGGCGAGCGACATGGGTTTGATTTGACTAGACACGAGGACACACTAAAAATCAGATTGACTTCATCTGAGTGTGAAGAAAGTGGAGATGGAGACGCAGGCTGCTGGACACAAGAACAGATGGAGAAGGGGAGCAGATGTGGGTTCACACGACTGACACCACTATTTAGTGCAAGGAACCTACCTACAAAATCAAGTTGAAAGCCTTCACAGAAGTTGGTGATGATAGACTAGAGTTGAAGTTGAACACGGAAACAGAAAGTGAAGTGAAGGGTGAAACTACAAGTGACATATTCACGTCAGCCATGAGAAGAAAATGGGAGATATTGAGCAACATCCCTGAAGGGGACCTGTCCAAGCGTGCTAGGAATGAAGGAGAAACGGGACAAGGAATGTATGTTGACGGATACATGGAAGCTGATAGAAGAGGGAGAGGAAGATTGTGATGGTGAAGCAGAAGATGAAGCAGTGCAGTGCAGTGCAGGGATGAAGAAGGAAAAGAGGAACTGAGCACAATCTATGAAACACTACACTGGACAAAGAAGTGAAGGAGATTGCGTGGATAGACAAAAGACACTTCTATGACACACTTTTAAGTGAAGCAGAACAGTCTGATGGCTGGTAGGAGAGACAGAGACCAGACAACATTGTATCAAATCACCAGGTGACTATCTGGAAGGATCTCGACGCAGATGAAACAAGTGAAAGAGAGTGAAGGAAAGCTAGTTAGCAGAGAGGAGAAACAAAGGAAATGATGGACTGACCACTTCAAAAGCTCTTGAATCGACACCACCACCACCACTACGTCACCACGTGGAACTCGTTGAGAAATACCACCAGCAGCCCAGCCACAAAACTACCAGTGAACACAGGCCCTCCGACAAAAGCAGAAGTGAAGTCCTGAATGCCGTAAAGTTGCTGAAATTCGTGAAAGCAGCAGGACTAGATGGAATTCCTCCAGAAGCACTGAAAAGAGGTGAAGAGACACCATCGGACATGCTCACACCACTACTGCAGAAGGTTTTCAAGGAAGAGAAGAAGGAAAGGTACCTGCCTATTGATTGTGAGAAGGGCTACCTTGTGAAACTCCTGAAGAAGGGAGACATAAGCCTTTGCAAGAAGTGGCGAGGAATGATGCTGCTGTCCACCCAAAGCAAGCAAAATGTTATGCCACATCATCCTGGAGAGACTAAAACATACTGTGTATTGAAAATTATGACTGGAACAGGCTGGGTGGATTCAAGAGAAACAAATCATGTGTGGATCAAATTGCGACGATACGCTGCGCATCATCATATAAGAGAGGATAGGATGGCAGTCAAGTTGATTTTTACATCAACTTCATCGACTTTGAAATGGCCTTGTATCGAGGCGTCGACCGAAAAGTAATTTAGTAGGCAGCTGCTTCAACACAACGGTTTTAGTATCACAAGTCTCTATCAACCTCATTCAACAGATATATGCTACGCTATATGAGGATGCTGCGTGCCAAATGATTCACAGTGGAAAGCTCAACTCAGTGACGCGTTTGAAGTGAAGACAGGAAGGAGTAAGGCAAGTCTGCCGCCCACTATCACCAATGATGTTGCTGATTGTGGTCGACTGGAGTGGACTGAACTGGACTGGGTCATGCAGCAAACCGTGAGGAGCGAGAAGATGGGCATACTGTGGGTGGGCCGATGGGAAGACTGCAAAAGAAGATTTTGATTTCGCCAAGGATGATGATTTATGTCTAATGCCTTGTCGTACAAACTCGTAGATCTACAGGGTAAATCTAACAGGTTGATAGAAGAGGGGATGCAGCGGAGATGGGACTTCAAGTGAATGTGGAGAAGACGGAGATGATAAAGATACCCAACCAACAGCGGCATCAATCTAACGCAAGTTGTCTCTTTCACCTATCTAGGCAGTGAAATGGAGGCATGCTACTGAAGCCCTGTGTTCCACTAGAAACCCAAGGGACAAATAATAATAATATAATATAATAATATATATATATATATATATATATATATATATATATATATATCGGAATCATGTAACAGTCCATTACTGAACATTAGTGTACAATTGCATCATTAAGCTAGTGCTACAAAACGGAAATCAACCATGGAAAGTAGTTGCATAATAGTCGTTTGGACGGTGGAAATAACGAGGAAGTCAAGGAGTTTGACAAGGTGAAACTTGTTTTGGTAGATGAGAAATGGGAATCTTGATTCTCCACTTGATGTGTAGATGTGAAGAAGGTGAAGAACGAGACAAGGGTCTAATTGAAAGTCGTAATCATAAACTAACTAGTTATGATGAAATCGAAATGTGTGGAAGTGTTAAGACCATGGTAAGATAAAAGATTGAACATAGTTCTTTTGCATGCAGAGATCAGGTTTGAATTGATGAATTGCCAGTGCTTCTGCTGTGCACGACTGTCAAAGACGTACTCTTTTTGAACTGATCCATTTGACTTTCTAAATGACACTGTAGGAGGACTCTGGTCGAGCTATGTGTTCACAGTTGAGCGAATGTTCAAGAATTGATCTGTTAGTTGCTTTACATTCTCTCCTCAACAACAATGCAGGATAGTACTCAGAGGTACGTTTGGAAAGAGTGCACTTTGTGCGGCATATATAACTAGCTCCACACGAGCAAGTAAATTTGTAGACACTCATTGAGGTGGCCCAAGGCAATAGCTTATCCTTAACGCACTCCGGAACCAGTTGCTGACTAGAGAAGCTGACCTGTCGGTTCATAGAATGTCTTCTTCAGCAATCTGGACAGCCGTTTCTTGAGGATCTTGCTGCTGTATCGCCTTTGAAACCAACATTCATAAACAAGGTCTTCTTAGGAACTATGAGTACTTGCTCCGTATTCTGTTTTAATTTCAAGTTCCCAATAAATCTGGATGTGTTTAATAATAGACTGTTATATGTTTATGATACATATAAACACAATTGTACCGCTTTGGAAAGTGATGTCATCGAGAAAGAAAATTTTCGCTGAATTATCTCTTCTTTCCTCTATGACTTGATGGGCATGTTTCGTCATCTAAAGTAGTCGTCATCACCTAGAAAGTCTATTTGTCCCGGATGGGATAGCTATTTCGTTCTGATTTGACACTTTTCCTCAGTATGCGTGCCAAACCACTCGAGGGACCAAATATGAGACCATTCGGTTTTATTGAGAACAAGTTGCCATTCAGCCACTGGTTATAATTTCGACTCTGCTTTTCCCTACTTCTCTTAATTTATGATGTGGTGCGACCATCATCTAGTGTTATCGGTGAACATCTATCCTCATTCCCGACCTGGTTGACCGCAAAGGTTGTAAATTCTCTTAAACCTATGGTAATCTTTCTAGAAGCAATTGGTTAATGAACAATTGATAGTAACTCAGTTGGTGGTGTGTAAGGATTCATTGGTTTTAAGAGACCTTTGGTCTTGGATTCTGTTTACGCTGCTAACTTTCACAACACAATAGAGTAATGAAATAGATAAAAAGTGATATTAAAATAAACACTAGTGGTTAGTTAATAAACGAGGAAACAGGTACCCAATGGCTTATCCACCCATCGACCTGCAAACTGATCTACGAGACTCGACTGCTGATCAGGTTTTTATTTCACTTCAATCTCCAAGAGTTTTACTCGACTGCCTTGTGAATTCGTGATGCGTTACTATCACTTGATCGTACTCACACTGTCTGCCCAGTCAGTTGGTCAACACTGGGCCAGTAACCTGGTCTCTCGTTCGAATCCTGCCACAGTTCAAATTTTCATTTCACTTTCAATCACCACCCAGTATCAAGAATACAAGTCTACCAAACTATAGCTATCTTAGATGGTCAAAAAGTGATAAACAAGGAAATATTGAATTATTGGACTGTTAAGGTTTTGAAGGAGAGGGAACAGTCAATACATCTGTACTACTATTATCCTGGTCTTTGAGTTCGGACATATTTGCTGTCCAGCCTGGAAGCTACTAGCTTTTCTATTGAACAGCTTTATAGATGGAGTCTATCTTATGTAAAGTTTGCAGTACTATACTTGTAGGAAGTTACGCAAAGTTATACCTTTTAGTCTTTGTTCCCATCACCTAACTTAGTTGAAATATGCAGTAGTCAGTAGTGGTATATCTGAAAACCATTTTTTTCTTAATATATCATTTGTGGATATTTTTGCTGTTTGTATATTTATTGACTTTATTTCCTGAAAGTACTGTCTAGATTTCTTGTCCAGCAGAAACTACTGAACAAACTAAATCAACACACCATTCAAAAGATTCTATCTCACCTCTTTCTTTGTGTTTGTTTGTGTTTACGTGTATCTCTATTTTCTTTTCTATTGCTCAGTTTTCTCAGTTTACCTGATGAAAACTGGTTTGTCAACAGTTCTCCTCATTCATAATTTTAATTTGTCTGCTTTCACTTCTCTGTGTGTATATGTGTCTATCTTTCTCTTTGGAATCTTTCGGTAATCTGAGACACGACCAACTTGGTTGGTAATTTATCTTATTTACCAGAGCAAGAGCAGCACTGAACAAGTAATCTGTTTTTCATCAGGAACTTATTCATCAGTTTTGTACACTTCTAGGTTTAAGACGTTTAAATGCGTTGTTCTCTCTTCTGGTGAACATATTATCATTGGTTAAACTATCTGACGTGGTAGACTAGTATTTAAAACATGGAATGATGATCTAAGGTGAAATGGAAAAGCTGTACCGCAGCAGGATTGAAACTAGTGGTTTCCAGATTACCAGCCAGGATTTAAATTGTTTGACCTGCAAAAATTAAGTATAGCGAAGCTCGGATACACAAGGCCCGTTTTCCATTCGCCAACTTACGTCATCTGTGGCACTGATTAGCGAGATATCCGACTATCTATCAAAGGATGAATATACTGCACTGCAGTTCGTTCTGTCCTAGTGTACGGCTGTGAGACATGGCCGTTAAAAGTAGAAGACATGAAGCGATTACTGAGTTTTGATCATAGATACCTTCGTAGCATTGCTTGTGTTTGGTGTAATCGCCATGTGGTGAGGTCAGGTGAAGAGTACTAACCAAGACAGGCAAGTCGATTGATGAGGACATGCGTTATGCATGCCGAACCATCACCTACCTCGAAGTGCCATGCAGGGAGAAGTTGGACTAGGTGGGAAGAGAGTTCAGGGTGGCCATATCAAGACCTGGCACCTGTCGATAAAGTCCTTGACTATTAGTCTGAGCCATGTGTGGGAGATGTAGACTTCCTGAATGGGGTCCTCGAGACGATAGGAATCAATGGTTGAGGACTGTTGGTGACGTAACTGAAAATCGACCACAATGGTGCCGATTTATTCACTTCCTGACGTATTCTTCTCACCAATCCTTATCTTCAATTTGTGAATTCTCTCATCTTTTTTTCTTTGATGTCACTCTTCTGCTACCCACCTCTTCTTTTTGTACTACCGTGAAGTGTGGCAACTTGAGCCGATGCACTTGTGTGCGAGGTCGTACGTCGATTTTGTCTGTCTATCTGTCTGCCTGGTAACGCATCCAAATGAAAACTAGGTGAATCTCACAGTGTATAGAGTGAACTTGGGACGTAGTCATTTGTTGAGTCTCAATCGCTAGAACTCCAATCTGGTAATTCGAAGGCAAGTGATTTGAATTCTGCCCTGAGCCAACTTTTTGTTATTATCGGTGAGCTTCCGGATCAAATTAAGACTATTCATGTATTTTTCGACTGAAACTACACTATATCTAGTCGCAAAAAAAGTAATAATCGAGACTGAGTTTAATATGAATTCATTTGAGTGATTCTCAACATTTGTTTCCAACCCTCCGACTTCCTATCGAAGAATTAGTATACTTTCCAGAGTGGATTGTTCTTTAAGCTGAGTTGAAACTATGATGAATTGATAACGTGATCTAGAATGACACTGAAACGTTTTCCAACTAAGACCCCAGATAAGAGAACAACCCTATGTGAAAACCCGCACCATGAGCCAAAAATATTCACTACAGTGAGTGGTTCGATCTTCCTAGTTGTACAACTGTAAGATAAAGCTGTTAAAATCAGAAGACATGAGGAAGCCACAGATTCAGGGGTTATAGATGACTGCTTAGGACCGCTCGTATATGGCGGAGTCACTATGTGAGCAATGTTGAATTTAGGCGTAGAGTATTATGCAAGAAAGATAAGTCAGTCGATGAGGATGATAGTTTTTGTTGAGTGAAGTGAATCGGTTATGTGTTACGCATACTCACCCGTCGCCTACCTTGATGTCGACCGAGATGGGATTTTTTTGGAAGCAATCTGCATCATTTTGAACACTGATTTATTTTCTCTCTTCGCATACACTTTAGTGTATTTCAATATGAGTTTTTCTAGTCATTTCCTCTTTCGTTAATGTCATGAAAGTGTTGTAACCTGTACTGATGCACTTTTGTTGAGGTTTAAAATAATCTGAAAGTTGTATACTTACTTCAGTTGAATTCACACTGATGGAAAATATGCATTGACACAGGGTTATTAAATCCCTGAATAGGTTTAGATACAATTAGTTGAAAGTGTCGTTGAGATGATGTCTGTTCAGAGAATAAGTGAATTAATATTCTGTTAACGTCAAACAAAATACAGGAGATGGTAAAGAACAATAGAACATTTCAAGAGACATTGAAATATTAAAGAGATAATGTTATAATTATCGTGATGTGTGCTACTTATACTGCTTAGTAGTAAGGGTCAACTGTCTAGGCTACTAGGCCACAGTGTAACTGCTAATTCATATGAACTTTGTTTAGCTAATAATTGGACATTATAAAAAGTCAACAAGAATATAGCAACTTCCGTGCTTATGTTAAGATGGTACACAACGATTTCTAGATTGTTTGATAGTTCTATTCAGTAATGATCTAGTCCAGTTTGGAAGTCTTCACTAACTTACATGTGTGTCGGATTCTACCAGAGTCCTTTGTGAAACTAGAAATAATATGTTTTATCTTTGAGGTTAGTTAGTGAGTAATTGACGGTTTTCCTTGCTGCAAAAGATCTATATACAACTCAAAAGATGATGGCATTATGAATGATTCATATTTTATGATGTCGGTGCTGATTTTGAATCATCTCACGTATGACTTTTGTAGCCAATGATCTCTAGTATCTGGAGGGCCGTTCAAGAAGTCGTATATATATTACACAGATTATGGGGTGATAACTTCATGGTTTTGTTCAGGGTTGTAAACTAACCATCTAGAGACTTACTTTCTCTATCCTTTTCTTCAGAAGAAAATCCATCGCTGAGGGGCCAGCATCTGAGAGAGCTCGATACTCTCTGACTGTCCACACCTTGGGAGTTTTACTTCATGTACACCGAGAGAGAGTCTATTTGAAACCAATCATGGATATCGTTTTCGGTAGTTTTGATCATTACTGAGTTGCATCCTTTCCTTATAACACCTTATCATCTGTGACAAGAAGTCATTGGTTAAGCCCAAATGTACACTTCTGGATCAACCTTTTCTAACTTCTTTCTCAGAGTTAGAAGACAACACATATGAATTACAAAGATACGTTACTGTGGTTACTTTATTGTTCAACGAGCAGTGTCACTTTACCCTTATAAACCGTGTTATGAGTTGGATTACTATTCCTACAACAGATAGAATAAATTAACCAGAACCTCACACAGAAGTAGATTCGTTCAAGTTGTCATGCTTCACACCAACATGCAAAGGAGAAGGGGGAAGGGGAAGAAGGAATTCGGAGATTAAAACTAGTGTAAATGTTAAGACTTGAGAAAACACCTAAGAGTAAATGCATCTATGCCATTATCACCAATTTTCAGCCATTTTGTCAAGGCTCTTATAACGGTGGATGGGATAATCTGGTAAATATCAATTGAAATGATGTTGTTACTGACGAGCCCCAAATGGGATGAAACGCACGTCATGGATTCCATTGCTAGCCGCTACCCATCATTAATATATCTTTCAAACACAGGCAGTATCAAAGCATCTGCGCAGGAGCCTATGTGCCAATAGAGACCGATCAATTTGGTCCACTCAGCGATGGGATAACACAAATAACAACATTAAAACTATATCCGTTGCACAAGAAGTGACTGAAGTGACTCGGTGGTCTAGTGGGTAGCGCTCTGGAGCTTGAAGTGACCGTTCCCGAGTCCGAGCGTTGGTGAGAACAACATCCCTCTCTTGGAGGCAGGTAAATCCAGCTGACGAGTCCTAAATAGGACGAAATGTGCGTCCTGGATTCCACTGCTAGCCACTGTCCATCATTAGTGACCAACTAAAATTTCATCTTTGATCATTTACCCATGTAGAGGGTTGGAATTAATGTAACCGCTGTTCAGAAACAATGTAATCTTAGTGTATGCTTTCATCAAAAACTGTTAAGTGACTATAGGGGAATGATTTTTGTGCATTAAAAAAATCCCTTCTTTTTTCCTTTCGTTTTAAAGGTTTTAACCAATTAGGTATTACAGCTCGAAGTAATTTAGTTCGTGAAGCTATGTATCCAGTCTTCCTGTTACTATTAAGTCGTGATTATTGTCCAGAGACTGATGAATATAATTATTTCGATTTTCCACTAAACGAACGCGAAGTGATTATTCGACACTTCCCTTCATTCAGACGGATTACAGAGCATTTACGCGTATCTGGACGATTAATGCATCATTTGAATTTAAGTCTACCAGAGTTATCGTTATCTTGTGCTGCAGAGATATTGAGAAGTAAGTCACTTATGTGTTTTGTGTTATTTTCTTGTTAATTATTTGACAATTAAATCAGACAACATTTAGCGATCAGTACATGCAAGTGATTGAATCATCCACGAGATGTATTGTGGTCATAATAGCTGAGTGGTGAACTCTCTGGTTTCGACAGTTAGCGTCTTCAAGACTCCACCTGCTACCTGGTGATGAGTACTAACGAACACATAAACCAAGTCGAGCAAGGTCATCCATTGATTGACAAGCATATTTGAATATACGTGCGATTTCCAATTTTCATTCAGTCTTTTTATTCAATAATTGGTCATCAGTTGTGTAAATGATTCAGTTCATAGTTCATATCTTGTATGAGGGCTGAGATACTCCCTGAGCGCTCAAACCGAAGCAGGTGGTTGCCTTAGGGGACCACTCCTCGAACCTTTGACTTAAAGTCTAATCCACAAGGGAGTGGAGTAACATCAGAAGCTGCATTCTCATGGTTGCCGGTGACCAAAATAGTTTCGTACGCCATTCGTTTCATCTGGAACCTGGAGCCCATGAGCACCGTTGGTTTGGAATCAGAGTTGTCCAACTCCCCTAGATGGACCCTCAGTGTCCATCAATCCGATGATAAATTGCCTGACATTCGCTTGCGCACTTTCACATCTGTGGAAACACCCCCACCACGTGTAAATGATAGTCTTCATTATGAGATGTTATGGTTTTAGTAGAGAAATGGCTTAGCGCTATTGATTTGGATTCAGTGAGTGATTAAGTTCAACCGTATTCAGTCTGCTGAAGTTTACTCAACCTTATTATAGTCTGTCGTAAAGCAAACACGAACTTCTTTGTGATTATATACTTACGCTAAAGTTTTGGATTACGTTCGTGTTAAGGCTATAATATACAGTCTAGTTATTTCTGTTGTTTTACTTCTCATAGGAAATCCTTAGAACCGCAGTTATTAACTATTTTTGAAGCGAGAAATCTATTTATTTAGTAAGGTTACACTTTTTACACCTGCTTTTCATTCATGTGTTAGAAGGTGGATGGCACTAAAGCTGTACTTTGGTGACTTGTTGTCTAACAATCTAACAATGTTGGGTTGTCCAGATGACCTAGAATTCATTGTCTCAATTCTAAGTAGATTACAGAATGCCAGTTTTTGAGTACATGGTCTGGCTTTACTACTACTTTGGTATACCAACTATCTCCCGGCTAATAAAGTCCTGGAAGCTGATAACCTAAGTGCAAATCCTGCATTTACTGTAGTAAGTCACACTCCTCTTTCTCCCAATTATTTAACATTCTGAAATCCTAATAAGTAGTCCTAGCCCTGTATACATCGCAATAAAGTGGTGGGAAAGTGTATATCACAGTTGTATTTGTGATATTTAAAATAGGTATCCTTGTAGGAGAAGGCTTTTACTTCTCACCTTCATAGCTAATCTAATTACTTTTACATCGTATGCTAGACATTCTAGGTATGTTGAATCACTCTGTTTGGACTTTTAGTGGAGGTATGACTCATCGGTGTGGGGAGATAACCTGAAATCAGTGGGTCACTGGTTCGCACACTACTCAACGTATTGAACTTTAGATAGCCAAGTGGTATTATTACCCCTCACACAATAGGTGCGGCTCAGGTTCCGTTGTACTTTTACAACTGCCACAAATTTATGACATACTTTAATCGTTTTCCAAATTCATTCTATTTTACATGATTAAATCCTGAACATCTGAAACTGAAACATATCACTGGAACTTGAATGATCTGGAGTTAATACTGAAGCAAGGTTCGAGTCTTGATTAACCTAAAAGAAGTTTTCATCTTGGATGGAGATAGTATCATTTTAAGGAGGATCTGGAGAAATGGTTATATGCGACCAGACTAAGAAAAGTAACATCAGTCCACTAATTCTCGGTTTGTTAGTCTGAGCAGCTTAGGGAATATGTAGACTTCCTGATTGAAGTCCGTGATATTAGACTCTAGATGATATGACTCATCAAAATGGTCGCAAAATGAGAGGTTGGAAAAGGTGTAAGAAGCTTAATATTAGTATCAGAAGGTGAAGGAAAAGGAGGAGACAGAGTTGAGGAGGATAGGTGTTTGTATACTACTGGAAGCGTGTGAGCAGTTGACACTTCCTGGTTCCTCACACCGTAGAAGGCTATTTATTCCTAAGGTACCTGAAAGAGGAAAAGATTTATATTATCGCAGAGCTCATGAGACATCTGCTTGGGACCTGTCACATATGGCGTTTTGCGAGTTGTTGTTTTGAGGTTTAGTTGTTGTGACACCGGATAGAGAAAACCCACCCCTGGCACCAGAAGACCGTGGAGCAAAGGAAAGTGTGCTAGATCTGGAGTCGACCTCTTGTAACCCTCCCCATTCCCATTGAGAAGGCAGCATTAGTGTGTCACTGCTAATCATCCAAGGGAAACACCTTACTGCTTTCACAGCCTATCCAGTCAGTAGTACTACTCATCAAAACCGATCTCAATGGCGCAAACGCATCCGCAGTTTATTTTCGTTCCAATCGTCATCCTGAGTTTAATTATTGGTTTCCTTTCTTCTGTTTTGTTTTCACGACTTTCTACTACTTCCTTATTTCTTAGTGCCTTCTACGTTGATATGCTGAAATGAGGTGTAGCAACTTAGACCGTAACGCACTAGTTCCATGTCCATGATATTGACTGACGAATATGTTTAAACTCGACAGCACTGAGTAATTTCTCGATGATATTCACGACCAGTCATGTAATCTGGTAATAACGCCCCATTACTTTGTAAAATAAAATGATTATTATTAAGCACACAAATGTGCAACGTAGACAACAAGATATGCACCATGCAGAACATTTAAGCATCTTTATGAAGGCACAAAATGGAACAGAGGTGAAGCTAAAATACAAGTGGGTTAATAAAGAAGCAGTTTTACAGACATTCGGAGAAGTATCCACTGTTTTCGTTTTACTTTTCAGTAAGATACTCGAAGCCACTGAGCTTCACGATCCCTCGAACCCCCTATCAGGAATGTTTTGAGGCACTTATAGATGGCTAACCCAATACAACTATCCTTCGTCCTACGGTGCCACGTCATTCTTATTTTCAACTGATTTAGCATATTTTCTTATCAAATACCAGCTGTTGTTGTTGTCAACACTGGTGTAATTTTCTGTTTTTTTTGTTTTGTTTTCTCTCTTCATAATAGATTATCGTATCCTTGAAGAGCCTACTGCGAAAAGTACAGCTGAATTGTTTGTATTGGCTCACCATAGCCTATTAAGTTGTATGGCAAGTGAGTAACTTTTCTTTGTTATTATTATTGTTATCATCGTTCAGATGTTGAAGACTATTTGTAATTCAGAAGGAGGATTTCTCCTAGCGTGGCCAGTAGTCAAACCGCCCAACTCAGAGATCGCAGCACTAAGGAAATAGTTGTGTTTTATTAAACATGATGATGATGGCTCTCTATCTTAAAATTTGATTTATTTGAACGAAAAATCCCCCATATTAACTCATAGAACAAGTGCGTATCAGCGATGCAAATTCTCTTTATGTTGATCTCATCTTCAGATGTACAACTGTGTATTTATATTTACAGAATACCGACTTGAACAGATCAGTACTTAAGTTTCTATAAGTGTTGATAAAATATCTACAGCAAACGTCAATGGATTATGATTATATACATATATGTATATATAGTGTTGAAACCCACTCTGCATTTTATTCCAAAGAGAAGCGTTTATATATCTCTCCATCTTATAGAGGAGAGTCCTATAAGACAGTTTTCAAATAAAGGCTAAGATCTACTATCAGTCAACAATACTCTATAACTAGGCTTATAGTAGTTGAGAGAATTAAACATATGTTTCAGCCCAAACCTCACCACTGTATAAACGATTGCGTCATATGTCACTGTGTTTACCAGTTTACATGTGCGTTGACAAACGCACATACATACATAAACATAGGGAGGACTAATCGAAATACGGAAACAACAGTAATGGAACATGTAGCAAACTAGCTGAGAGTATGTGACAGATAACCGTATGCACCCATTGCAAGGTCACAGGGCATATTTTGCACAGAAATTGTTAGGAGGTGTATACTTATATTTGCTGAAGTGCTAGTCATACACAAGTTTAAGTCTGTTTTGTGTTTAAAACCCGTTTATCCTTGCGTCAAATGTACCCTGGTAATATTTTTCCTACCCCCATTACCAACGTTACTTTCAAAAGCTTTTAGCCCTACTTCATTACCTATAGTATTATTGCATGTCTTATTGTCATTCCTTTTTTATTTCATTATAAAATGCCTTGAAAAGTGAGTGCACGAGCAAATTGTGCGAAATCTATGGCTGACCCAAATAGGACGAAACGCGCATCCTGGATTCCACTGCTAGCCGCCAAAGTAGACTGCAATCCAATGAATGTCCACACAGTGTCGAGACCTCATAGGGGTCCATCTGCCAACAGAAGTCGAGCAGTTTGCAACAGGTGTAAAAATGGCTTACTAAACTTAAAGATGCATAAAATTAATCGGTTAAAAATCATACAGTTGGAAAAACTCTGTAAAGAAGATAAATTACTTGCATTGATTGATCGCTGGAGTGTAGCCAACTTTAGAATTTCTAATCTTATGTCTTCTTACCCGAATTCTGTCTCTCATTTTGCGATATGCTCACCAAGCTAGGAGACACTATCTCAGTACACTTTGATATATCCTAGTTAGTTGAAGACAGTCGCCAGGAAACCCTGCTCAACTTAGATTTTTGCGTGTTGGCATTCATCAACAAGGCGTATATGCCATGGTAAAGCCAACAAGTGTACTCGATGTTATGAATTGTCAATGTTTTCATTACGTGTAGATATAGCCGAAATCCATAAAAAATGGTAAGATAGATTTCAGTAGAATACTTCATGGGAGCTGTTGGAATGCATTAGAAACGAAGAGAAATTCGATTATCATGCTGTTGATATTCGCTTTCTGTCGTTGGGATAACCAAATTGGACAGTACTTTAAAAAACACTTATGGAATCGATGCTGTGTATACCCAATGTACTTCGTTCTACAGGAGAAAGTAAATTTGTAGATGCACACTGAGATGACCAAAAGAGATATTTTATCGTTGATATATTGATATGTATAAATGTCACCTGAAAAATATAATTCTCATGGTAGCTGTGTAGAATATCTTCCCTAGAATTGTCTTGAGAGGTTATTTTTGATGATTTCCACTACAGTCATCTGATTAATTGGAGGTTCCCACAGAGTTTTCTTCCAGGCGGTTTATAGCTGTTATATGCATTGTTGTTTTGTTTTTTCATGAATATAAGTGTAAAACTTGGGCACTATCGTAGAATTGAATTCCATGTTAGATTTACTTATTTGATTTATAACACACAATGATACAGTATTATTTACTTGGAAGCTACGTTTCGAGCATAAATTATCAATGCTCATAATCATATCAATGTAATTACACAGCTTTGATATCTGATTTTTATAGTCCTGCCATCTCATATTCTTTACTTTTGTTGGCAGTAAAACTTTACTTATCTCTGGTATATGTGTTGGGTCATTTCTATTACATATGTTGGGTGTTGGTTGATTCGATGAACAGAGATTCAGTAATCACTCCCCCTCTCCACCTAATTATATTGAACTTGAGTACAGTGGTTTTATCCCACCCATCCTATTGTATGGTTGTATGTTAATGCATACATTGCAATAGCTGAGTATGTTTGCAGATTATTGATCTTATTCGGTCGGGTCTGTCATTCTATATTTAGCTAAATTTCTATGTTCCACTGATCTAACTGATTCCGACCGGCTAGTTTGACCGAAGCACTTGACTTAACGTTCATTACATGGAATTTGATAGATTAGATTATTTTGGTGAATTGGTTCTATAGAATCCTTAGGCCAGCCGACAAACCTTATCTCTGAGTGAGTTTATAGGTTTAAGTGCCATCCTAATTCTGGTTTTGTTGAGGATCCTACGTAAAGTTTCTGATGTACCTTCCTGACAGAGTAACACAATGAGGCCTTTGAATTTATTTCTACTCGTGTTGTCGTTATAATTCGTATTCATAATACTGCTATTATTTTGTCTTATATGTCCGTAAGAATTTCTTAATAAATGGTAGAGGATAATTATTAATTATTAACGCTTCTTTTATATGCTTCAATTCCTTGTTTAAGTGCTTGCACTGACTAGTCAGTTTTCAGCTCTATCATTTAAATATTTGACTAAACCTGCTGTAACTGACATTACATGAGGTGACTCGACATCTAAATACCTGTTAAAATGTGTCGGTATTCTGTAGACGGTAGTATCCAAACCACCGTCTGTCCTTCTTTTTATCCTGCAATCCAACATAGGTAATTCTTGTTCATTTTCTACCTCATAAGGGAATTTAATTTCGCCTACTACTGAGCTTATATGTGTGAGGATATTGTCGATATGTTCCTATTTCAATACAGTAAATGTGTCATCCACATATCGCCACCATTTCTTAGGTGCAGGATTAAACATTTCTAACGTCATGTTTTCTCAACTATCCATAAACGCATCTGCTATGATTGGGGTTATTGGTGATCCCATTGTTACTCATTCTGTTTGTCTATATGATATGATTTATGAGCAATAATTTATACTCGAAACATCATCAAGTAAATAATACTGTATCACTGTGTGTTATAAATCAAATGAACAAATTCTAATATGGAGTTTCATTTTTTTATATTGGCGTCGATGAATGTGAGTGGATTTCTAATAGGATGTCATGTAAACGGCTTCATTTACTATACCTTTATTATATCCTCAGAATAGATCTTAATCCATGAAAGCAAACATATTACATCCCGTGGGATGCATCTTATTATTATATTATTAGTCCCTTGGGTTCCTAGTGGAACATAGGGCTTCAGTAGCACGTCTCCAATGACCTCTGTTCTCTGAGATCTTTTGAACCTGGTTCCACGATAGCCCACAAGCTCTCATTTCCTCCTCGCACGACCTCCTCCATGTCACCCTCGACACCAGCACCCAACTCGTCGCTTCCCATGGGGATTCCACTCGAGAAACTGGCCTGACGCGTGATGTCCCCAGTCGGCCTTCTCAGTGTATGCCCAATCAAATCCATCTCCACTTCCTTCCAGTGCATATTTGTTGGGTGATAGCTTCTTGGTTGGTTCGTTCCCAGAGCTCCTTGTTGCTTATTCTCAGTATTCTGGCCATCTGATCTTCAGTAGCGAACCAGCGTAAGCAGTTGTTGATGAATGTCTTTAGTTTGTTGGAAATGCCTTTTGTAACGCGCCAAGTTTCTGAACCATACAGAAGCACTGACTTGACTGACAATGGTGTTGAAAATCCGTATCTTGTTCCGCATGCTGAGTGGAGTGCAGAAGATCTCCATACTGGTTTCAGGCTAATGAACGCCTGTCTTGCTTTTCCGATTCTGACTTTGGCATCCTCGTCTGTGCCTGTGACGCCTGTAGTTGAAACAGTGCCTCCTAGATAGGTGAAGGAGGTTACTTCCTTTAAGTTTCTCCCATTGATGGTGACTGGAGTTTGTTGTTGTTGTTGTTGGAGTTGCTGGTTGGGTATCTTCATCACCTCTGTCTTCTCTATATTCACTTGAAGTCCCGTCTTCGCTGCCTCACCTCTTCTGACAACTTGTTAGTTTTCGCCTGCAGATCATCAAGTTTGTGTGACATTGGAAACAAGTCATCGGCGAAATCCAAGTCTTCTAGGTTCTTTTCCACAGTCCAGCCAGCGTATCCCCCTCTTCTCACTCCCCACTGTTGTCTGCTGCATCATCCAGTCAGTTGAACACAATCAGGAATATCATGGGGGATAGTAGGCAACCTTGTTTCACTCCTGTCTTCACTTCACTGCAAAGGCGTCACTGAGCTTTCCATTGTGAATTACTTGGCATGTGGCGTGTTCATATAGTTGTTGAATGAGGCGGATAAAGGTTTGCGGTACTCCGTAGTATTGAAGCAGTTTCCAAATTACCTCTCGGTCGACGCTGTCAAAGGCCTTCTCGAAGTCGATGAAGTTGAGGTAGAGAGTTGACTGCTATTCTATACTCTGTTCTATGATGATGCGGAGCGTGGCGTTGCAATTTGGTCCACACATGATTTGTACTTCCTGAATCCAACCAGCAGGCCTGTTCCGGTGGTAGTTTTGAATCCAGCACATCCTTTAGCCTCTCCAGGCTTAATATTTTGCTTGCTTTGGGTGGACAGGAGTGGAGCGTGATTCCGCGCCAGTTCTTGCAAACAATGAGGTCTCCCTTCTTCAGCAGTTTGACAAGGTAACCCTTCTTCCAATCAATGGGCAGGTACCTTTTCTTCCTTCCACACCTTCTGCAATAGTGGTGTGGTGTGAGCATGTCCGCTGTTGTCTCTGCGTCTGTTCTCAGTGCTTCTGGTGGGATCCCATCTGGTTCTGCTGCTTTCCCGCATTTCAGTAGCTATATGGCGTTCAGGACTTCCATTTTTGTTGGAGGATTTATGTTCACTTGTAGTTGTGTGGCTGTAGGTGGTATTTCTAGACGAAGTGCAGGTGGTGGTGGTGGTCGATTCAAGAGCTTCTTGAGTGGTGAGCCCATTGTTTCCTTTGTTTCTCTTCTTTCGTAATTAAATTCCTTCATCATCTTTTATTGGTTTCTTCTGCGTTGATCTCTTCCCAGATAGCAACCTGGTTATTTGATACAATGTCGTCAGGTCTCTCTTACCCACAGCCTGTTCTGCTTCACTTGCCAGTGTTTCGTAGAAGTGTCTTTTGTCTTTGCGTGCACTCTTCTTTACTTCTTTGTTCAGTGTTTTATATATTGTGCTCAGTTCCTCTTGTCGTTGAGCATCCTTGCACTGGTTTATCTTCTGCTTCACCATCCTCCTCTCCCTCCTCTATCAGCTTCCATGTGTCCGTCGAGATCCATTCCTTATCTTCTTTCTTCTTCCTTCCTAACACGGCTGTGCAGGTTTCTTTTCACATCGCTTTCAAAGAATTCCAGTGTTCTTCCACACAGGTTTCTTCAGGGATGTTCCTCGATATCTCTCATTTTGTCTTGATGGCTGCCGTGAAGATTTCCTTTGTAGTTTCATCCTTCAGTTTCCGAGTGTTGTACTTGAACTGTGATCTATCACCAGCTTCCTTGAAGGCTTTTAACTTGATTTGGAAGGTTCCTTGCACTAGACAGTGAGTGGTCTGAACCTATATCTGCTCCTCTTCTTGACCTTGTGTTAAGTAGACTGCGTCTCCATTTTCTTGAGATTGAGATAAAGTCGATTTGATTTTTAGTGTGTCCATATGGTTAAATCCATGCCACCTTGTGAATATCCTTGTGATTTTATACACTGTCTCCAATCACCAAATCGTTGAATGCACAGAATTCTGCAAACAATTCTCCATTCTCGTTCATCACCTCACCGAGCGCTTCTCGACCCATGGTTAGTTCTCTTCCTGTGTTGTCCCCTCCCAGTTTGTCTGGCATTCATGTCGCCCCGCCCATTAGAATTTTGATATCGCCAACTGACGTCTTGTCCAGTGTTGATTGAAGTTGTCTGTAGAATTCCTCCTTTTTCTCTTGCTCTGCATTATTTGTAGGTGCACTGCGTAGCATTGTATGATTGTGACCTTCCTTCCTTTTGAGTTGAATCTTGCTGTCATGATCCTGGATGAGATTGGTTCCCACTGCATGAGAGCCTTCGATGCTCTTGGGGACATCATGATAGCCACTCCATAACTCAGTGTGCTTGTGGTTGTCGTCTGGGTGACAATATCGGAGTAGATTATTGATTCTCCAGTTGACAGTTTGGAGACTCCACTCCCATTCCATCTGCTTTCGCAAATTCCAAGCACTTCAATGTGATACCTTCTCATCTCGTTTGCACTCTGGGCTGCCTTACTGGGTTCAAACATCGTACGGACATTTTATGTCCCCACGTTTACTTTCGCTTTCATCGAGGGAGAGAAGACACATCGGCCAATTGGCTTCCCGAAGTCAGGCTTTCACCAACTGGCGTCATTTCACCTCTCCGATTCCAGCGAGGAATAATTTTGTTATTATTTTTTATATATCGTTTGTGCTTTGAAGTTTCTTTAGCGTTTAGATTTGTTTTCCGGGGTAGGGTTGCTAGCCCTATGCCCAACCTTCCCTCTTTACCTTGGCTTATGACCGGCTAGTAACTAGTGAACTAGTTAACCAGGCGAGGTTGGGATGCATCTTAGGAAGTTAATAAACTGTCAAACCCTTTAAGTTTCCTGTAAATTGATCTCGAAATAAAACTATCAATTCTACGTGTTAATAGCATATCCAGGAATGAGAACAGTGAACTTGATTCACGGTGGATTAGCAGTGTTAAATATTGAGAAGAGGGTGCTGAAGTTAAATTCTTCATCATATATAAAAAAATTTGATCGATGTACCATAGGTAAAAGTCAAAGTTATCCGACTAGAGGATTAGTTGAAAACATCTTTTTCAACTGTGAACTATAAAACAATCGAACATGTAGAAACAAATTAAGAAGGGATCCATTATCACATCATCCTTCTGTTGAAGAAATTCTCCATTGAACTTGACCTAAGTGTTGAAAGTGTATCTGAGACGTAGTTTTTGCAAATAGTTGACAAATACAACAATATCTATATGAAACAGATCAGCTTAATCAGTGAAATGTTTTTTAAAAAAGAAACAACACCCAGAAAAATTTGTTTCTTCAACATGTTGGTACATTTCTTGTTGATTCAATAAAATCTAAAGCTTCTTTAGGGTTATGCCTTATTATATTCTTTCTTATGATTGCAAACTTATTCATTCTGAAGTTTAAAATTATAATTTTAAGAGGAAGCGATTCTTTATTGTTCAAGTTACTTTTAAACAGATATCCTGTAGAAATTAGCAAATAAATGTCATTCTGATACTTCATCCTTTAACTATTCATCGAGATTTATCGATTAAAGTGTGTACGTACACTGGTGTATGAGATGCTTTTTGCATTTCAAACCTACTGGTTTCCAATCAGATTACCCGTCGAAATGACCACTTCTCACGCTTTCTGAGTTGATGAGTTCCAGTCATGTTGTCCAGAGTCAGCAATAAGCTACACCTATTTTATAAGGGATAATGATACAACTCAAGTGTTGAAACTATATCAGGGGTGGACTGATGTTCTCACCTATGAACTACTGATTAGAGGTCGAATATTCTAACCAATCACTCATAATTCCTTTCTTGACACATAGAAGGAAGAAATAATGCAGTAATTAAAACGAATAGTTAATCACAAAACTGCTAATGAAATTTATTTATCATTCCTGTAATCTATTGTCTTCTTTCAAGTGGATTTGTTTCAGTGGTATTTAACACATCGGCTTGTTGGCCTATACCGTACGTGTTTGTACATGCACATGTATGTGCGTGAATTAGGTTTCTCTATGTCTCCTATTTGAAGATCATCCTTAGTCTTTGATATTATTTCATTAGAACTGCACAACTTAGATGGTCGTGGCTTTTTCTTTTTTACTTCTTTCCCCTAGTTCTTATTTTTCGTGTTTTTCCTCTCTTCATTTTCCAAAAATTAGTCACTACAACATAAGCATACTCGCTTTCATTTTGGCTTTTATTTCTCCTTTGGTAGTTTCTTCATCTCCCGTCCCTTACCACTATCTTAACTTCAACTTTCTCTTCAACCTCTCTGATATGTGATGCTATCAGTAATACACTCATTATAGTCATGTGTGTGTGTGTGTACATGCTTGTAGGTGTGACTAATCGATCGATAAGTCATTCGGCTGCACCTCAGATTCCTCTGTACGATCACAGTTATTAGTCTTAAAATTTTTCCTCGACAACACAATGATAAGCATCTTTGCCATCCAGTTAACGCAGTAATGATCAACGAGTCTATGGAAATATGCGCGCAATTGATTATTTCCTTGTTTGTACAAGTGATTTCACATTTTTTGTGTGTGTGTGTCTTTGTACATGAAAGTTGATTGTTGCATACCTAATCGGATTTTGTTAAGGTTGTTTACTTATATCATAGTGATTATTAAATTATATATTTGTAATGTTGTTGTTTGACACTGGCATTATTTACAACTTGATTGGTTGACTGTTAATTTGAAGGCTCCTAATGATGATGACGTCGGTGTCGATCCAACTGCTGTCCAAATAAATGTATTGCATAAGCTTTCAATTGCGTCTCCGAATTCAGTAGTCGACGAGTTTTTCTTTACCCCACTGATATGTCTAGTGAGAGCCCAATATGTCGGTCGGTCGGTTGATTGGTGTTTGTTATAATTCAAGCAACATATCTCTGGTGGAGTGGTTACCGCGTTCCGTTTTAAGTCACTTGTCTTTGTTTAGGAAAACGCTGTCACCTCAGTTTTCGTTTCTACTTCAAACATCACCACAAAACTGCAGATATATCAAATAGCCTCACCCACTACATATATATATACTGACTTCTTCGTTTTGTTTATTCTATTTGTAGAACGTCCTTTGGTAACGGGCGGTATTTCAATCCAACAAAGACGAACCCAACTATCAGCTCTTAGGAAAATGATTCGAGTTATGGATAAGGAGCATCATAAAATCTTAGCCGACCTAAAAGTAATATGAAAGTCTATACATTTTTTCTGTTCATTATTCATTTCAGTATGATAATTTTAATATAATATTTTACTTAATTCATAGAAGTGATGAGCAAGTTACATTTGATACCGGCTTTATAGTCTTTGTCCTGTTTTCGTAGGTCATTCTTGTTTATCTGATAGCTCTGTTCTCCTTCGACTTCTGTTTCGTCTGCTTTCTTTCTATAATGCTAGGTAATCCATTTTTGATCACTCTCTCCCTCTCTCCAGAGCATTCACCATTCAATCATCTGTTCTTGTGACTTGTGTTACGCATCAATGTGGGACTTGATATTGCCACACTTCACATCATCACAGCAAGGTGGGAATTACTAAGATGAAAGAGAAGGAAAATAATTAGGAGTGATTGGATCAAAATACACTCTACTTACATACAGTCGACAATGAGCTACAACTTGTATTTGGGGGCTAATGATATTACCTGACTGTCCAAACCTCAGTAAGTGGAACATGGTTCGAACTCCACATCACGACACACGGCCTATACTGCTAAGGTAGCGGTAGTTGAACATAAAAAGTTCCTTCATATCCTCTACTATTAATAGTTATTTTCTACAGTCATCTGTTAAGGTAAAGCGAACTGTAGTGTGGTACACTGGACAATTAACAGGCAATCAGATATCATGGAGTAAGTTGACGGAAACCGCTCAATCCCTTTGTCCTTTGTTAGACCGGGCATCAACATAGACCTGTCTTTGAGCAGTTATTCCCTTTGGAATGCTAACGAAAGTACCCCAAACGTTCTACAATTTTCACTCAGTGTGCATAAAATTACCTCTGGTTAGTATCTATGTTGTCTGCGTACTCTAGGTCTGTTTGATGGTCTCCTGTGCCTAGGTCAATCTCTGTCAAGTCAAACCGAAATAGAAAGAGAGGTGTCCTAAAGTAAGCTAACAACAAAATTCAGTAAGAATGGAGAGAGTGGACTCTCTTGACGGACAACACTGGGCGTATACAAGTCTACCCGGACGCCTCACCATAGGCTCTGATACACTCACGGGTGTCTTTAACAAAGTGATGTAATTACCTATCAACCCCTTCAGTGGGGGACATTACCATATGAGGCCTCTCGCTCCATGAAGTCGAACTCCACCTTCAGTTTGGAAAATGCAACCAATGTCGGGCACCGCTGTATTTTTGTTCAGATAACTGGTAACAAGTGAATATCTGGTTGATACACCCATGACTAGGTTCATAACCCGTCTGGTTTTCTTGGGTTTACTGTGCTCGAGCTTCACTTAAATGTCTGATAATTATAGAATCTAGGATCTTAAACACTATATTCTTCACTTTGATTTCCCCTATGGTTATCGCAAGAGGACTTCCTATCTTTGTCGAAGACTCGAACAGTCAGATATTAGGGTCAGTAAGATGGGGTCATATCTGCTTCCCATACGCTAGCTAACACTTCAGTTGACCTGACCGATTGTCACCACTCTTAGATACTTTCGGTACTAGTTCATCCGAGTTTACTGCTCTTGCTTGTTTCAGATGGCTTACAGCCTTCCTGTATTCCGTAACAGTTGAAGTGCCTATTTCAGTTTTTCATTCAGGATCCGACTGAATAGCAGCCAGAGGCTAGTTGGACGGCTTGCCGATGTGTTCCAACGATCTCCCCGTGCAAGTAAACTGCAGACCCATCCTTCTCCGCTATATTCTCACTAACCATTGATGTTTTCGTCCTAGTTCTTTTGACCGGTCTAAATAACTGTATGCTGTGACCTACCGGCACTACTTTTTTGTCTCTTTAGCCTTCACTACCCACCACCACAGCTGTTGCGTAAACTTCTTATGTCTACATTTGAATTGCCTCAACGCCTCATTTTGCTTCGAGCCCGGAATATTGCGTTCACGTGCATCCATTATTTTAGAAGAAGGTGCTAAAATCCACTGAATCTTTCCAACATTTTTTATGGGTGTCAGTTAAAAATGAAAGATTAGTCAATCATTAGCAATGATCTCTGCGAACAACTTTGCCCTTCTTGCAGTATCACTCCATGTTTCTATGGTTTGCTAAAAATGCATAAAGATGGTGTCCCACTCTGTCCAATACCTGGACATCACAAACTCTCCATACCATACAATTGCAAAATAGCTAACTGTATATTATAGTAACTATTGAGATCATGTCGATTAGGTTTGACCTTTGACCACAAGGTTATCTGGGACATTCTATTATTTTACTTATATATTTACGAATGTAGCGCTGTTAAAATAAGTCCTCGAAAAGTCTTCTCTGTATTTTCTTATTATTTTTCATGCAAGTGTTATGAACTTTTGGGTTTTTTTCCTGCCACTAGAATTGAATGTAGACTTTTAAGTAACTAATGGTTCCATGTATTTACCCTCTAAAGAACTCATTAAATCGAGGTCTAAATAATTTAATTTTGTCACCAGTAATGTTGCTTTAAGAAATTTGTATGATTAGACTAGACTAACAATGGACCAAGTTTTGACTTTTTGAGTGAAAAAGTCAGTACAAATTAGGTATATATGTAAACGTTGCATAATCTAATAACTCTCAAAAGCTGCTGAAGTGTAAGTGGAGGAATGTTTCTTGTCACAAGACTGATTCAGGTCTTCGATATGTTAAGAATCAATAATTGATATGGTACGCAATCGACCGCAGTGGCACAAATGCTAGTGTTTACTCATCCCCATCACCTAGGGAAAGTTATTTGTATATTTGTGCATAATGGACAAGAGAATAGAGAGACAGTCGCATAGACACTGGCTATCTCTTCCAACGTTATCTTTTAATCGAATCGATGATAAATTTGATCAATAAGTAAAGTTAGAACTGATTTATCGACCATTTTGTTTACTTTTTTTTTATCTATTCAGGTAGATAGTCAGCCATTCATTCACTTTCCACCTTATATATATATATATATATATATATATATATATATACGCGTGGTTTTCTTTGTCTTCATCTTGATTGCTGCTATTGCTTGCGTGCGGTTGCGTGACTTTCCAACTAATCCGTATTTTGCACAGCAAAAGCAACTGTCACATAGGTTTTACGGTTTAGCTTTCATAAGTTATTATTATTATTATTATTATTATTATTATTATTATTATTATTATTATTATTACCTGTAAATATTCTCGACCCTTCAATCCACTCAATCAATCGAATGAAATTAGTACTGAGTATACTTGACTGATCGACATCTCTGATGTATAAATTTATTTCTAAATAGGAACGAGAGCTACCGTTCTAGCAGAATAGCATGGATCCACTTTATTTCGAGGTTTCTCATCAGCTGCTTACAATCTAAAATTTAATATTAAATTCTAAAAAATGTTTGCTTACTTGAGAACTATGAACTTTTCAGCGTTACAGATAATCCATAGATATTCGTTAAATATTAATAAGGCAGGAAATTAACTTTCTTCTATTAGGTTGTATTTCATGAACTTGGAGTAAGATTTATCTGTTTACCTTTCTCTTTTAGAGTATCAGATCTGATCTTCGATTTCCTGAACTGTTTGTGGAAATGTTCCAGTTAGCTGATAGTGCATCAGCATTACTTTCAGCCTCTGCTCAAGCTGTAACACTGGCATGTTCTGGTGCTCTACAGTCTTCATTAGTATCGTTTCAAGGTTGTCAACAGGCATCTACACCGTCATCGTCATCATTACCATCATTCAAAAGTAATGCATCGGATACAATTACAAGTAAATCTATTGAGTCGGTATCAACTAGTGGTGATTTTGTTCAGTCTGGTGATAGGTGGGATGCAAGTCGACTGGCTCTATCTGTTCCTGCTGCTGTTGCTGCAGTAGCTGCAGCTGAGGCTTCATTATGTCAAAGCAATCAGCTACAATCACATTCATCGCCAGTATCTTTGGCGTTTTCGCAATTCTCCACATCAAATTCTGTCAGTCTGTCGAATAGTCTTAGTTCATGTCAGAAAAGACCTAAAAATGAAGCAAATCAATCAGCCAATAATGTTGTTACTGCTGCTGCTACAACTGCTGCTTTCATAACAACAACTCCATCTTTGTTTTTTGCTAGCCAACCTCATCCACCTTCTTGAACATCATGAAAGTACACACACATCTCTACCTTGATATCACACACCTCGTAGATGAGATTTACAGTGCATAGGAAATATTTACTGTTGGTATCGTCGTTACCTTACAATTTTGTTCGCCAGCACTATTATTGTTATTACGAATAGACGTAGGCCATATTGTGTGCGTTCATAGTTAACATTGTTGTATAACCGCCACCACTACCCCATTTTCTTTCCTTTTTCCCCTTTTTCTCAAAAATAAACGTCACCTACACATACACAGTTGGGTTTTTTCGTTTATATATGCATATATTGAAAAACAACTTTTAACCAGGTTAAATCTCATCACAGTTGCTACTTACACTTCTATTGCTATTGTTATTATGGTTTATAATTATGATAATTTTATAACTCCTCAGGTTTAACTTCCATTTATTACCTTGTTTATTCATTTAATTAATTATTTGTTTACTGACTTATTTATTTATGTACTAACTGGATTGAATTGCAAATCCCGTTTAATTAGCGCCTGAAAATAATGATTATATACGGATAATTGTATTGTTACTATTGTTTTATAATGTCCACTTTGTGAATAACTGATTATTGTGTACATGTCTACAGTCTTGGCTTATCCCCACCCTCCTCCTTTTTCACTGCCGTATTGTACTTGGTTGAGTTGATTGTTTGCTGTTGTCGCCTGGGACTCAATTGGTCCTCAATGTATCCTTTTCTACCCTTTTAACCACTTTTTTTTGTACTTGCTTAATGATTGATTACACTTTGTCTTTATGGTCTTCTGTGTACAGGCGGGTGTGTCTGTGTATGTAAGTGTGCACACGCTTATTCATAAGTCTCATTGCGTTCCTTTTTGATAACTACTACTGACTATTACTACTACTTTATGTATTGTTATCTCAGGGAGAAATGATATTTCTTAATCTATTTATTTATTTACCATTATTATCAAATTTTTTTTATTACCAGTTATATTGATAATGTTGTAAAAGTATTATTATCTCTTTTTGAAGAAAAAAGAAGTTATTACTGCATACAGACGTTAAGATAATTGAACAGCGCCTTTTATTTTGATTGCATGACTCTTATTTACCTATCGTCTATGCGGATGTATGTAAGTAGTGTTCATCCTACCATTGACACTTTTTTGCTGTTTACGTTTTCACTTGACCTACGATCCTTCTGATGCTGTCATCCTTCAGGCCCGATACATTTAGACTATGTATACCTCATGTATTTATCCTTTGTTTGTATACACAGTTAGGTTTCAATAATTTTCTAAATTATTCTCCTTATCAAACTGTACTCTACTATCAAGTACCATTGATGTTGTGTTACTTCTTCTTATTGTCAATCAATCTATTTGGTAGAGAAGATTTCAGGTGAGCAGGCGTCTTTTTGTTTGTGTGTTGTGGGGTGTATGTATAGATTGTATACAAAGACAGTTTATTCTGTGCTTCATGCTTGAATTAGTCTTACAGTAGTATATTGATCATAATCCTGCTGTCGAGTCATTAGGTGGTGGTCACTTTCAAAGTTGATTTTACTACTCAAAAAGGTATATGTGTGTATGTGTGTATGTATATTGTTTGTTTATATAACCGGTTAGTTTTTTAATGAGTTTGTCTTACATATACCATGGTTACTGGTACACAAATTGAAATGCGTACAAAACTATCCACATACGTGGACGTGAACACTATTGCTCTTCTTCGCCTTCTTCCCTTTTTTCATTACTCTTAGTAGGCGTGTAGTCATCTCAGGTGTAATGACTGTTTGACGAACTCAGTCCACGTATATCACTGTGTGCGTATGTGTAGGTTACACTGTTTTTTTTTTAAAAAAAAATTTTTTTTCGAGAATCATTTGCTTTCTGTCCTCCTAACTACTGCAGGTTTTTTTCTGGTGTTGCTTTTATTGTTGTTTGATTTTTTTGCCTACCTAGGTTCTAAATTGTACCATTTCTACTACTACTACTACTACCGTTATCATTATTATTACTGTTATTATTATTATTATTATTCGATTATTGTTCATTTTCATTTTTATACACTGGATTACTACACTTTTTTGACGGCAGGGAATTAATGATCTTGTTTTTCTTCTCACAAATCCTACCTCATGTATGCATAACTTTGTCATTGTCGCCAGCATTGCTTGCCATCATTTTTGTTGTTCAGGTGAGGTAAGATAGACTGTCCGATCAGTCAGTCAATGAATCAACAATCCAATACATACAAAATATTACAGGAGAAGGACATTTATTTAATTAATTATTAATTATTTGCCTATTATTTTTTTCTTCTATACTTTCACTATTATTTCGTGTTTGGCCCATTTTGTATATTTCAATTGCGCCATTATTGTCTCTGATCCACACTCCCGGTTGCCTGTGACTTTGCCAAACTGGAATACTTTCAAAATTTCAACCAATTCCAGGCGTATTGTGGATGAGTTGTGTTCAACCTCTTTCTCTTTGTCTCTGTTTAGACAGGGAGTAATACTTCTTAGAGTTGTGGTAATACTAACTACTATTACTATTAGTAATACAATACCTATTTATTTGAACATATGTAAAAGCGCCGTATTTACGCATAGACATATACGCTTACACTCTTCGATGATCTTCACTGTTCAACCTCTTTTTCTTATTTTTTATTTTAAGATAAAGGGCGCCATTTTATTTATGAAATTTTTAAAAAAGTTTCTTTCGTGTTTACAAACATACTAATTGTAGGAATGATTTTTACTTAAATATGGATATTGTTTATGATGCCCTTTTTCTTCTTTCCTGTTTAGTATGCATTATTTTGTTATTCTCGCCTCTACCCTTGTTATCATCTACCTCCTGTCTCTTGTTAACAACACAATATAGAGGAGGTGATAACGGTAAAGAAAGTGAACCAGTTGTTTGTGCATTTTTGACGTTATACAAAAGAATGGTGTTTGATTCTTTCTTTTTTTAATTTTATTTGAATGATACTACTTATTACTTGTTTTTGTTTTACCTATCTACTTTTGTTATACGTTATAGCTTGATTATTATTATGATGATGATGATTGCACTCATTTGATTATGGTCCTGTAGATCTAGTGTTTATCCGCCTATGATATGTTCTCCCTTAGCTTCATTATTCTTCATTCTATTTGATAGTTTTTTTTTCCATTTCCATTATTTTACATAATAAACGTAGAGGTTGATTGAGTATAGAGCGCCTTCTTATCCTTATTATTATTAGTATTATTATTAAATGTAATTTTTCTCTTTACTACAACCTTTGTCTTGTTTCTACCGCATCCATTTCGCTTGTCATGTGCAAAAGCATATACACGTATGATGACCATTTTGTGCCTCAAAAACGCAATTAATTAATTAATATTTTATTATTTGTTCATTTATATTATTCGTTTCGCTTTCTTATTCTTTTGCGCCAATTATCTATCTTTCAAATTTCATTCTTATTTGTTTAAGTACAGAAAATTTACATCCTTTGATTTTGTTATTATTATTATTATTATTATTGTTGATGTAATAAATGTTCTGCAGTACCTGCACACATACACACATACACACACATATACGAACGTGAAATATTGATACGCGGCCATAACAACAGCAACAACACAAGTTTGATATTTACTTTGAGCTGTAGATATAAATATGCACCCGATTATTGCGTCACTGTGTCATTGCTACACTTATCTCTCAGGTATGTTGTAATATCACCGGTTATCCTGTTTCTTCACCCCCCCCTTTTTTTTTAATTATTATTAACTGTCCATGTTTTTCTGATGTGTTATTGTTTGTTTTTATTCCTTATTCTTTTGTGTATGTATGAGTGTGTGTACATCGATGGACTTTTTTCTCAAGTAAAAAACATTGAAGAAATCATGTTGGTTTAGTTCACTCGTGTAGTTCATTTCGATCTTAATTAGTCCATCCATCCATCCATCATATACATGCTCACATACCTACACCTATTTCTGGAAAAAATTGCGAACAGTAATACTATCACAATTATACTGCTGTTAGTAATGAATGTATGTATAATATAAAAATAATGATAGTGAATAAAAAATGGGAGGAAGATGAAATAAATGAGTCTGGAACATAATTCTGTTCTGCAGTTGTTTTTTTTTCTTGTTCCTTTTCTACTGCTCATTTTTTTGTCTGTTTAAAAAAATCAATAAATTCAAACTTCACTAATTTCACACGTCCTATACAATCACACAGACTGAAGAGGAAATGTTTTTGTTAATAAACCTCTATATATACCCATATATTCTTTTTATTTTTCATGTTTGTTGATATTTTCCACCTTCTACTGGTATTGTATGATGGTAGACATCTGCACTTGTGTCAACCTTGGCTGGTCGATCCAGTTCATACAAGTTGACGATAAAACTTTACTTACTGTAAGATCAGGATGACAATGGTTTGTGTATAATAATCTAGTGTTTTACGGTAATGGGTGTTGAGTCTGACTCTGTCTCCCTCTCAGTGGGGACATATCCAACTGATAAATCCCACATAGGATGACATATAAATATTCTGTACTCCATTATTTCGTCACAGCTAACTACTATTAGAACTCTGATCATACTTTAAAAAAATCGAATCATTCCGCTTTAATAGTTATTGTAGTTTTGGAGTGGGATTCATCATGGACTGGTATAGTATGGGGCTTAGCGATAGACACCCGCGACCCCACATGGGATGGAATCTGGGACCTTCAGGTTTCGTGGTGAGTACGTTACCATTGGCTTGGAATTCAACAATCAACATTCTCCTACTTCTATGAATTTGCGATATAGTCCGACCACCATCCTATGCCACTGTTGAGTACTTGTCCTCACGTCCGACTTGGTTTACCCCACCGGTCACGAATTCCAATTAGAATTTGGGAAAATCTCACCTTGAAGCATGTCGCGAATGACATTTCCCGTAGTTTTTAGTGGGAGTTGTGATCGTTGGAGCGAACCAAGTTGGATGTGAGAAGAAG